CCTGTCAGCCCCTCTCCTCAGGCTGCGCCCGGGCGGTGCGGTCCGCCCTCATGGATGCACCGCCCGGGCAAAGCTGCAGCCGCCTGAGGCTCACTACAGAGCGCTCGGGCGGCTGCAGCATGGGGGGGGCGGGGGGGCTGGCCATGGCACCCCCCACCCGGCTGGCACCCGGGGCGGACCGCCCCCCCCGCCCCCCCCTTAGTACGCCACTGCCCCCCAGTATATATTATTATCCGGGGCGGGGTATAACAGAGATGGGGGCGGGGTATAACAGAGACAGGGGGCGAGGTGTAACAGAGACAGGGGGCGGGGTATAACAGAGACAGGGGGCGAGGTGTAACAGAGACAGGGGGCGGGGTAACCAGAGGAAGGGCTATGACTTCAATGGGGTGGAGGAGGTGAGATGGAGAACGGGGGTGGAGTCACGCAGTGGGTGGGGTTAAGAGTGGCCCAGAGGAGGAGGTAACATGGCGGCAGGGGGCGGGACAAGTAGTGGGTGTGGTCTGACGGCGGCTGGGGTAGGAGGTAGCATGGCGGCCGGGGGCGGGGACATGCGGTGGGTGTGGTCTGACGGCGGCCGGGGGAGGAGGTAACATGGCGGCCGGGATTGGCTGCTGTAGGAGGCCGGGTATGATGGCTGCGCTCGGAGCTCGGGCTCTGTGGATGCTCTTTGTGGCCGGATTTGGTGTCACCGCCGCCGGGAGGCAGAACCTGCATATACCCGCAGAATGGCGCGAGCCGGGGCAGCTTACTGTCACTGTCCCCGAGGGGCCAACGGGGGCCACAGACCGCAGGAGGAGGAGCCTGGAGCCAATTACTGAGCCCCCCATCCAGGTGTACGGACAGGTACTATACAGAGACCCCATCCAGGTGTACGGACAGGTACTATACAGAGACCCCATCCAGGTGTACGGACAGGTACTATACAGAGACCCCATCCAGGTGTACGGACAGGTACTATACAGAGACCCCATCCAGGTGTACGGACAGGTACTATACAGAGACCCCATCCAGGTGTACGGACAGGTACTATACAGAGACCCCATCCAGGTGTACGGACAGGTACTATACAGAGACCCCACCCAGGTGTACGGACAGGTACTATACAGCGACCCCATCCAGGTGTACGGACAGGTACTATACAGAGAGACCCCACCCAGGTGTACGGACAGGTACTATACAGAGACCCCATCCAGGTGTACGGACAGGTACTATACAGAGAGACCCCACCCAGGTGTACGGACAGGTACTATACAGAGACCCCCCCCATCCAGGTGTACGGACAGGTACTATACAGAGAGACCCCATCCAGGTGTACGGACAGGTACTATACAGAGACCCCCCCATCCAGGTGTACGGACAGGTACTATACAGAGAGACCCCATCCAGGTGTACGGACAGGTACTATACAGAGACCCCATCCAGGTGTACGGACAGGTACTATACAGAGACCCCATCCAGGTGTACGGACAGGTACTATACAGAGACCCCATCCAGGTGTACGGACAGGTACTATACAGAGACCCCATCCAGGTGTATGACAGTACTATACAGAGACCCCATCCAGGTGTAACGGACAGGTACTATACAGAGAGACCCCCAGGTGTAACGGACAGGTACTATACAGAGACCCCCATCCAGGTGTAATGGACAGGGTACTCATGCACAGAGACCCCATCCAGGTGTACGGACAGGTACTCATACAGAGACCCCATCCAGGTGTGTACGGACAGGTACTATACAGAGACCCCCAGGCAATGGACAGGTACTATACAGAGACCCCCAGGTGTACGGACATGTACTATACTGAGCCCCATCCAGGTGTGCAAAAATGGACAGGTACTATACAGAGACCCTCAGGTGTAACGGACAGGTACTATACAGAGACCCCCAGGTGTACGGACAGGTACTCATACAGAGACCTCCCCCAGGTGCACGGACAGGCACTATACAGAGACTCCAGGTGTACGGACAGGTACTATACAGAGACCCCCAGGTGTACGGACAGGTACTATACAGAGACCTCCAGGTGTACGGACAGGTACTATACAGCGACCCCACCCAGGTGTACGGACAGGTACTATACAGCGACCCCATCCAGGTGTACGGACAGGTACTATACAGAGAGACCCCACCCAGGTGTACGGACAGGTACTATACAGAGACCCCCCCCATCCAGGTGTACGGACAGGTACTATACAGAGAGACCCCATCCAGGTGTACGGACAGGTACTATACAGAGACCCCCCCATCCAGGTGTACGGACAGGTACTATACAGAGAGACCCCATCCAGGTGTACGGACAGGTACTATACAGAGACCCCATCCAGGTGTACGGACAGGTACTATACAGAGACCCCATCCAGGTGTACGGACAGGTACTATACAGCGACCCCACCCAGGTGTACGGACAGGTACTATACAGCGACCCCATCCAGGTGTACGGACAGGTACTATACAGAGAGACCCCACCCAGGTGTACGGACAGGTACTATACAGAGACCCCCCCCATCCAGGTGTACGGACAGGTACTATACAGAGAGACCCCATCCAGGTGTACGGACAGGTACTATACAGAGACAGGTGTACGGACAGTACTATACAGACCCCATCCAGGTGTACGGACAGGTACTATACAGAGACCCCATCCAGGTGTACGGACAGGTACTATACAGAGACCCCATCCAGGTGTACGGACAGGTACTATACAGAGACCCCATCCAGGTGTACGGACAGGTACTATACAGAGACCCCATCCAGGTGTATGGACAAGTGTGTAATGTCAGGAATCTTTCTTCTGTGACAGACTGCTTTTATTAATGTAATAATGTGAATGTTTTGCTCTAATTAATGCAATTTTGGGGGAATATTTGGCAGGGCTATTTCTATCTTGTTCTGACTGGTTGGTTGCACTTGTAATGATGGGAATGGGCTTTTATCATAAAAGATTTTTTTTGTAGCCCTTAGTTACAATTATGTTGCCAGACTCCTTGTTACTACATTGCCCCAGTGAAAGAGGTATGAGGTGTCTCTGACGAAGTGCTGCTATGAATGCACAGTGATGAGTATTATTCCACATCTATCAAAAACAGAGAAATGAAGGCTTTCACCGTGTCTTGGTGATAATTTTGAGCTGTGCGGTGTCCCCTGGTACCTCTCACAATGCTGTCTGGGGGTGATGCACGGACCGGTTATCCATCCTCTCCCTATAAAAATGATTGGCATAACCGTTATTTTGGTAATTCTGGGAAGAGGACCCAACACACATTTATTTATTTCCCCTCTCTGGGCTCTTCCGTCTGTCTAATGCAATGGTGTGCCCTTGATTTTTAGCTGAAATTTTTCCGGTTCCTACTTCTGCCACCTCAGATTGTGCCCGTTGCATGAATCTCCTAGCAAGTTGCCTGGTTTCCTGGTACCAACGCCATGTACGTCAATTTGAAGATGCGTTAGAGAGCTATTTATATTTCTGTGTGATGACTATTTGGTACCTCTATAACCGTTTTACATTGAATACTCGTGTTCTCATTTTAAATATTTGTTCCTCTCATTGCGTCACCAAGTTGCGTTTTGACCCCGGAAACAGGTTTTGAGTGCCCATATTGTGTTTTTTGCGGCCGGTAGTGTTTGTAAAATTAAACTCTATTTTTCATATTTCTTTTCAGCATGGGATGTGAGACAAAACACTGACTGTTCATGACTGTTCCTGAACGGTTATTTTGTTTTGACATAAATAGATGTTTGATTTAATGTCTTGGTGCGTTGTTAAGTAGTATGTTTTTGTTTTTCAAGGAGCACTGCAAGTTAACTGGCTTGTTCCCCTTGTCTTATCTCTCAAGTGTTGTCAAAATTGTCACTTTTAAAAAGTCCTTTTGTTGCGTCGTCTAGGATGTCAGAGAACCTGACTTGTTTCTTGCGCCGTCCCAGCGAAGATTTAGCTTCCCAGCGAAGATTTAGCTTCCCAGCGAAGATTTAGCTTCCCAGCGAAGATTTAGCTTCCCAGCGAAGATTTAGCTTCCCAGCGAAGATTTAGCTTCCCAGCGAAGATTTAGCTTCCCAGCGAAGATTTAGCTTCAATGGTTCCCACTATTCATGCTCCTCTGGAGAAAAGCTTTGACTGGAATATGGTCTCTTCAAAACTATGAATATTGTTTTTTTTTATTTTGTTTTGTTTTTTTAAACCGTGATGTGGAGGGACTCTAAATCTACACCAATAGTACACATTGACATGTGAAATAAAACATTTTTTTTTTTTTTTTTAATAACCTTGGAGTATCCCTCTTAGCTTTCGTGAATGTCTAGCTTAAGACACAAGCCCTGGTAACAATGCTGGTCTATTTACGCTAATAACTAGGGTTGCAGTTGGTAAATAACTTGACTGTTTGAGCTGGTTTGTTACCTGCTTCACTGTCGACGCTGCCCTTCGTTTCCAGATTAGAGTCTCCATTTCTGTATTTGTTTTCTGTCTGCAAAGATAATGAATATTTACAGAAGTTTGATTAGTAAATGTCTGTCCTGGAAAATATGCCTTAAATTGCAAACTGGGGTTTGTTGTCAAACTAATGTGCAGGAGATTATACAGAATGTGTTCTACGGCTCATTCTCTCTATCAGTTTGGGGCATGATTATACAGCTGTTCTAGGTCGTCGCCCCATTCACAGCTTCAAGGGTTACCAATATTTATTCATTATATGATTTTTGTTAAACGTAAGACGTTTTCAGACACAATGGGTGAGGAAATGCTAAAAGATTAGATTGCCTGAGAGCCACAGGGAACAGTTGTTTAAATCGCCTGTCTGTGTCCGGGCCACATCTGGGCACCCCAAAGGTCTGTGTCCGGGCCACATCTGGGCACCCCAAAGGTCTGTGTGCGGCCACATCTGGGCACCCCAAAGGTCTGTGTCCGGGCACCGCAAAGATCTGTTTCCCGCCACACGAATGAGAAAAATATAAATTATGTAGGGTTTGTAGCTGTAAAATACTATTCAGGCATTTTAAAAAAAATCAAGGAATCTGACCGGCTCCAGCAACATACCCCTCTAACTCTTCCTCCCTGGAGTCTTGCACAAATCACGTCTTGCAGGGAAGCTCAGCCAATCAGGAAAGCCAGTCTGGTGCATAGCAGTAAATATATTTCTCTTTAAATGCCTTACAAATAACGGCTACACCAGTTTTTTTTGTTTTGTTTTTTTTTTGCTGTCATTGAAGAGGTTATTCTGTTTTAATGTGATTTTGTGCAGTGACTCAGATGGCTGGTTGATATTTGAAGCAGACAAATAATTGAGGACATCTTGTACCTGAGCGCCTCCAGCCAAATAGTTAATTGAGTGAATGCTCGCCAAAGTGGATTGGCAGATCTACTGTGGCTTTTAGGGAATTGATGTTGTTAAACGTGCTGCTGGGCAGGACATGAAAAGTGCTCGCCTGACACATGTACAGCGCTACGGAATTTTGCTGGCACTATATAAATAATAAAATGTACAATTTATACGCTGCAGGAGGGAACCTTATACCCGTTAATCCAGTCTGTGACTGAAAGCTACTTTCACTACTCTTGATTGTAAGCTCTTTTGAGCAGGGTCTGTTGTTCCTGTTACATTTTGTAATTCTCATTTATTGTTAAAATTCCCCTTTTATAATATTGTACAGCGCTGCAGAATAAGTTGGTGATATATATATATATATATATATATATATATATATATATATATATATATATATATATATATATTATTTTAATATTATTATTAAAATAAAATAATACTGAATCCCTGGTGGTCCAGTGGCATTGGCTGTTTAGTGGGGGGTTGACAGAGAGCTGTTACTTACCTTCCTGCGAGACTTACACTGTGAGCAGAACGGAGCTGACAGAGGAGCTGCACGCAGGAGAAGGGAGCTGACAGGAGCTACAGGAAGGTAAGTAACAGCTCTCTGCCAGCCCCCAACAGGACCGCCAGGCTTGTAATGAGCCCGCCGGTCCTGGTCTGTATTGTGGCAATGTAAATTGCCATAATACAGACTGACTCGAGTATAAGTGCTACTTGTACTTATTGCCCTATAACTTTCAAAAAAAAGGGACACTAAAGTCACCAGAACAATGAATTGGTCTGGTGTGTAGAATAATTACCTTCAGGCTTTTTGTTGTAAACACTGTCTTTTCAGAGAAAATGCAGTGTTACATTACAGCCTAGTGATAACTTCACTGGCCACTTCTCAGATGGATGTTAGAGATCCTTCCTGGGTCATGGCTGCCTAAAATGCATCCAAACATTCAGTATCTCCTCCCTCTGCATGCAGACACTGAACTTTCCTCATAGAGATTAATTGATTCAATTCATCTCTATGAGGAGATGCTGACTGGCCAGGGCTGAAAGAGCTTCAAAGTCTAGACCACCTCCACAATACTCCGCAGTGTTTGTAGTGCGCCTGTAGCCTCCACAATATACAGTACAATACTCCGCAGTGTTTGTAGTGCGCATGTAGCCCTCACAATGTGCAGTTCAATACTCTGCAGTGTTTGTAGTGCGCCTGTAGCCTCCACAATGTGCAGTACAATACTCCGCAGTGTTTGTAGTGCGCATGTAGCCTCCACAATGTGCAGTACAATACTCTGCAGTTGTTTTAGTGCGCATGTAGCCTCCACAATGTGCAGTACAATACTCAGCAGTGTTTGTAGTGCGCCTGTAGCCTCCACAATGTGCAGTACAATACTCTGCAGTGTTTGTAGTGCGCCTGTAGCCTCCACAATGTGCAGTACAATACTCTGCAGTGTTTGTAGTGCGCATGTAGCCTCCACAATGTGCAGTACAATACTCAGCAGTGTTTGTAGTGCGCCTGTAGCCTCCACAATGTGCAGTACAATACTCTGCAGTGTTTGTAGTGCGCCTGTAGCCTCCACAATGTGCAGTACAATACTCTGCAGTGTTTGTAGTGCGCATGTAGCCTCCACAATGTGCAGTACAATACTCTGCAGTTGTTTTAGTGCGCATGTAGCCTCCACAATGTGCAGTACAATACTCAGCAGTGTTTGTAGTGCGCCTGTAGCCTCCACAATGTGCAGTACAATACTCTGCAGTGTTTGTAGTGCGCCTGTAGCCTCCACAATGTGCAGTACAATACTCTGCAGTGTTTGTAGTGCGCATGTAGCCTCCACAATGTGCAGTACAATACTCAGCAGTGTTTGTAGTGCGCCTGTAGCCTCCACAATGTGCAGTACAATACTCTGCAGTGTTTGTAGTGCGACTGTAGTCTCCAAAACACGCAGTACAATACTCCGCAGTGTTGGTAGTAAGCCTGTAGCCTCCACTGTAGTGGAATGGAGAACTCCAATATACTTTTATACCCTTTTGTTCTGCTGTCCGTATGCCTCGTTCGTTTACCGAACCCCCTCACTGTGTGACCCCTTGCACCTTCACAATTACTGACCACCCTTGGCTGTTAACCACAATTGGTTATTAGTTCCTCCACAATACGCAGTTCAATACTTCGCAGTGTTTGTAGTTCTCTGTGTGTCCCTTTTAAAGATTACTTAATGTAGCTGGAAGGAACCAGTCTTTCGTAATTGTTTATATAACACGTTCATCATCATGGGTGTTGGTTGTGGTGTTAATCACAAGAGCAAGAAAACTGTCAGTTTATACATAATAATACATCATCCATCTTTTATAGCAGTGAGTCAACGCGCCTTCTGTACAATGGGTTCCACTTTATAAAATATTTTATTCTGTGCTTTGCCTCTATGTTTTCTGTGACTCCACTATATATATTTTATATATTTACTACACTATATATTTATATATATTTATTGGCAGTTAGGTAAATACCTTGTGCTCCATCGTTGGCCTATGGAACATCTCCAGCAATTTGAATAGCAAAAGTAAGACTTGGTTTTTGTTTTGTTTTTTTAATTGAAGGGCTGAATTAGAACCCCTGAAAATAACAGCTGAATATTAAAACCATTCTTAAAGCATTGGTACATAGATTTAAAAAGTGCAGCAGTCACCGTGGCAACAAGTGGGATATTCCTGCTGATTGGTCCAGGTTTGAAACGTTAGCCTCATTTGCTTGTTGTGTAGAACACTTGTTAAGAAGGATGCAGGAGCTATTTTAACATTTAGCCACGCCCACAGCGCATTTGATCTGGTGATCTAGGTAACTACAGGTTGTGTGATAGTTTGGGGTTGCTCCTCATTGGATCTTCTTGTGTGGGGGGGAGGTGGAGGGGGTTTGTCATCTGAAATATTGTAACTTTTTTCTTTGAACCCATTATTTATTTTAAAAAGTATCATTGTATGGGTTTATTTGTTTCCTTTGCAGGTCAGTCTGAATGATTCTCACAATCAGATCGTTGTACATTGGGCCGGCGAAAAAAGCAAAGTGATCGTTGGATTAACCAGAGACAGTCAGACGTTCTCAGGGACTAAGAGCAGTAATGTAAGTTATGTTTTGTTAGCAGGCATTTCCTGTTACTGATGGCACAGATATCCCACATTACCTATTCTCGTGATAGTACGAATGAAAGCTTCACTGATGTTGTGCTGCGAGATAGAATGAAAGCGAGGATTGTTTGACGTTGCGTTATGGCTGATCTGTGGCTGCTATGGCTCCGGAGCTCTGTGTGAAAACTCTGCCCATATATGTCCAGAGAGAGTATTTTAATTTAAAGGATCACTATAGTGTCAGGAAAACAAACTCGTTTTCCTGACACTATACAACCTTTAGGTCCGCCCCCCCTCCCTTGGCCCTTGAGTTACTTACTTTAATCCAGTCCCAGGCTCCCTCTGCGCTGGTGACCTCTCCTCCCTCCCACTCCGACGTCGTTCCCGAGTGGAGCAGAATGCGCATGCAGGGCAAGAGCCGGTTGCGCATTCAAACATTCTGCTGCTTTGTTTACATCTGAAGGGTTAAAACCTGGGGGACCTGGCATCCAGACCACTTCATTGAGCTAAAGTGGTCTGGGTGACTAGTGTCCCTTTAACGAGCAGTCTATGTGCAGATTGTGACATTTGGAACAATTTCTGCTTTTACCGCCAGAATTAAACTACATGTTGCTTCCTTGGAAACTGCAAGTTTTTCATGGTACATGTGATAAATATTTTTCTTTCCAGTCCTTTTAATATTGGGCTACCCACTGAAGTGTGAATCTAAAAACAGCCGATATAAAAACTCACTTAAAGGACCTTTTCACTTTGGCTATTTTGTTCTAAAATGTGAAATCCTCTTGAATTCCAAAGCATTCACGTGTTGGTGCATGAAACAATGAGTAATAATTACAAATCGGTTCTGATATTGATCTTCATGAAAAACATTGATTTGATTAAATCAGGGACTACTGTGAGATTGGAAATGTTTATCTAAAATAGCCAATTGTTAAAGGACCACTATAGTGCCAGAAAAACAAGCTTGTTTTCCTGGCACTATAGTGTTAATAGGTCTCCCCTCCCGCCGGGCTGAAGTAGGAGGAAGGGGTTAAAATCTTACCTTTCTCCAGCGCTGGGGACTCTCCTCCTCCTTCCGACGTCATCGGCTGAATGCGCATACGCGGCAAGAGCCGCGCGCATTCAGTCAGTCCATAGGAAAGCATTTTCTCAATGAGACCGCCACTAGAGGCTGGATTAACCCATATGTAAACATAGCAGTTTCTCTGAAACTATGTTTACAGCAGGCAGGGTTAACCCCAGATGGACCTGGCACCCAGACCGCTTCATTAAGCTGAAGTGGTCTGGGTGCCTATAGTGGTCCTTTTGAAAGTTCTCCAACTCTGCTAGTTGTCCAGGCTGGCTGTGTTTAATTTGTATTGTCTGGTGTTTCAGAGTTGTAATAATACCCCCTTGTGGTACCACCGCAGTTAGTTTATAGTGGGTATTCATGTACCCGCTGAGTGACCCCTGGCACATAAGGGTGTGTGGTCAAATGTCGTTCAATGGCAATGTCTGTACCCTGGCCCCCCAGGGGCCGGACTGGGAAGTAAGTTTGTCCCACTGAAAAGGGGGCGGGGACAGGTAGGGTGTGTATTCTCAATATAAACTTAAAAAATAAGTTTAAAAAAAACAAACAAACATTGATTGTATTTTCCCCCTTCTTCCCTTTAGCCTGGGGGGACCGTGGTGCTGCCATCCCTGTGGGGCTAGCGTTCATTCTTGCGAAACCCAGAGCGTTTCCATGGCAATGCTCTGGATCTTGCGAAAGGAACCCGGCGAAGCTGCAAGATAGAGCTCCTACTGGATCCTCTCCTGGCTGTCTCCCTCCCCAGCCAGCGGCCGTATTTCACTGCATGTGGGCTGGTGAGGGAGATCTTTGATATTCCAGTGTGGCCGGCGCTTGGATGGACCAGACGTGGAGATCCTGTGATCTCCCCTGCCGGCCTCAGCCCATGTACATAGCATTTTCCTGATGTGCCCGATGGCCGGCCTGGGCCCCACTGAAATACCATGGCTACACCTGGTTTGCCCAGCTGTGGTGACCTAGTGCACAGGTTTGGAAGATTGTCCTTCTGATCATCAAGTGGTCTGTCTGTCTGTCGTTCGGTCTGGCCACTGGTGAGATTATACCGTGGCAATCTGGATCAACAGCAAAAAACAGATGTGAGGAAGGATGCAGTTGATGGACACATGTCTCTTTTCAGCCCATGTAACTATCTCCAGGGCATGCCACCTCCCTGGTCTCCATAGAAACCGATTAATGGTTGGTGCAGACTGTAATTACTGCCATTACTACCTGTAATCTCTTGTTGCAAGGAAGCTTTAAAACTCTGTTAGCTGAAAGAAATGGGAAACGATAAAAATAAGAGTGGGTGATGTGAATGTAATAATGACTTGTCACCCAACAGTCCCAGACCCAACGGGGCAGTCCCATTTTGGAGCTGGTGTGCTGGGTTAGGGCCCTTTGGGATTTTGCTCCTACAGGCTTCGGAGATGTAACTCTGGCCTTGCTCACACCTCTTTGTTTTTCTCTTTATTTTTTTTATAATTATTTATATTTTTTTAATTGGTGTCTGTGAGATTGGTTAATGTTTTGTTTAACCACACAGCATTTGCACTTTTAACGATATTGACTTTCTCTGGTCTGCCTGCTGTTTGGATCAGGTGGCGTTGTGATAAGTGCAGGTTACACTGCAATCAGTGTTTAGCCTCAGGTCAGGGTTTCTGGTAAACATGCAGACGCGTCTGTACAGAAAACCTGTTTTTCATTTACATAGAGAGACCTGTCTGAACTGTATTCCTGATTTGTCAATGCTGGCTGGGGGTGATGTAAGATGCTGCTCAGCATTAAAAATGTCTGAATACCAGTTTCTCAAAATATCGTATCTTGATCATCTGGTTTCACTTTTAGCTGCACAGGAACTAAGCTGCAGTAGATGTGTATCAGTAAAAACCGCTCCCTACCTTCCAACCTGTGTCTGAGCAGCTCTCCAAATGAACAGGGTATTTACTGCAGCGATCAACATGTTTAACTCTTGACTGCATGCGCGAGTGATTCTGTGCAGGACCTAAGGCTCTCTTACAATCCCATTGTACAGCGCTACGGAATCTGATGACGCTATATAATATAATAATAGAACACAATTTTTGGGAGTTAACCCATTAAGGACACAGGCAATTGTCCAAATTCTGAACCAAAACAAAGAATTTACGCTATGTTTGTGTTCAACAAGGATTTAAGGTTTTCTCTCTAATTGGCCCCATTTATATTCTGTATTGTTTTTTAAAGGGCAGAAATGGATTTCTATGTATAGCCGACACAACATTAAAGGGACACTATAAGCATCCAGCAATTGTCATTTCATTGAAGGGGTGCCATTTCCCCCTCTTTTTAACCTTGCAAGTGAAACCGTACGTCAGGATGCCTTTCATACTAACAGCCACAGGAGGTGCCTCTGCAGAAATAGCAGCCTGAAACTCTGCTATTCAATCACATGGTTTTAGAGAGATCATCTAATTGGGAAAGCATTGCACTGGCTGATTGTAATGGAGCTCCTGTACTCCGGCTGAGTACCTTCGCCAAATTTGCTTATAGCTGTCAGGGGCCCTGGAGCACTTTAGACCCAGTCGCTGAAGCTTGACTGAGGTCTCTGGGCAACTCTGCCACCTTGGACCAGGCTGTAGTGATTATAGCTCCCTACGCTAGTTATAGGTCCCTTCTGCGGTTATAGCTCTGGAGATCCTTTCTCCTTTGAACAGTGATTATAGCTCGTTTTTCCCCAGGCATTAGTAGAGACCAAATGTAGGGGAGTAGAATGCAGATTTATTGAACACACACAGCTATTGATATATAGAAATATGAATTGACACACCAGGGCGTGCTACCTTTTATAATAGTCCCACCCTGGTGCAACTCTGTCTGGGGTCTTGATTGCGAAACCAGATAGACTCCCTGCAATGAGGCGGACAGAGCAGCGCGGTGTGGGAGAAATGGCAGGTTAACTTAATTTATAACCTTTGTGGAGGGGACGGAATGTCACCTAAACGTGATTATTACACTATAGCATTGAGAATTCACATTTGTGTTCCTTTGTCTGAATAACGTGTGGCAAATTCTCCCCACCCCAAAATAATTTTTTCATATTAATAATTTTTACACATACAGTGCTAATAAAGAAAAATTATTTGAAATAGATTCAAATATTAGTCCTGATTGTTAAATTCCTCATGTCTGGGATCTAAATTAGTTTTGGTAGTTTTAACGCTAACCCTGTACCAACCCTACCTGTAACACTATGCTTACAGTAACTCTAACTGTATACTGCCCTAAGCGTTATCCTACATAATCCATTACCCCAAATACAAACCCTACCTGTAACACTATGCTTACAGTAACTCTAACTGTATACTGCCCTAAGCGTTATCCTACACAATCCCTAACCCCTCATTAACCATTACCTTACCCAAATACAAACCCTACCTGTAACACTATGCTTACAGTAACTGTATACTGCCCTAAGCGTTATCCTACACAATCCCTAACCTCTAACCATTACCTTACCCAAATACAAACCCTACCTGTAACACTATGCTTACAGTAACTGTATACTGCCCTAAGCATTATCCTACACAATCCCTAACCCCTCATTAACCATTACCTTACCCAAATACAAACCCTACCTGTAACACTATGCTTACAGTAACTCTAACTGTATACTGCCCTAAGCGATATCCTACACAATCCCTAACCTTGCATTAACCATTACCTTACCCAAATACAAACCCTACCTGTAACACTATGCTTACAGTAACTGTATACTGCCCTAAGCGATATCCTCCACAATCCCTAACCTCGCATTAACCATTACCTTACCCAAATACAAACCCTACCTGTAACACTATGCTTACAGTAAGTGTATACTGCCCTAAGCGTTATCCTACACAATCCCTAACCTCTCATTAACCATTACCTTACCCAAATACAAACCCTACCTGTAACACTATGCTTACAGTAAGTGTATACTGCCCTAAGCATTATCCTACACAATCCCTAACCTCTCATTAACCATTACCTTACCCAAATACAAACCCTACCTGTAACACTATGCTTACAGTAACTGTATACTGCCCTAAGCGTTATCCTACACAATCCCTAGCCCCTCATTAACCATTACCCCAAATACAAACCCTAACTGTAACACTATGCTTACAGTAACTGTATACTGCCCTAAGCGTTATCCTACACAATCCCTAACCCCTCATTAACCATTACCCCAAATACAAACCCTACCTGTAACACTATGCTTACAGTAAGTGTATACTGCCCTAAGCGCTATCCTACACAATCCCTAACCCCTCATTAACCATTACCTTACCCAAATACAAACCCTACCTGTAACACTATGCTTACAGTAACTCTAACTGTATACTGCCCTAAGCGTTCTCCTACACAATCCCTAACCTCTCATTAACCATTACCCCAAATACAAACCCTACCTGTAACACTATGCTTACAGTAACTGTATACTGCCCTAAGCATTATCCTACACAATCCCTAACCCCTCATTAACCATTAGCTTACCCAAATACAAACCCTACCTGTAACACTATGCTTACAGTAACTGTATACTGCCCTAAGCATTATCCTCCACAATCCCTAACCTCTCATTAACCATTACCTTACCCAAATACAAACCCTACCTGTAACACTATGCTTACAGTAAGTGTATACTGCCCTAAGCGTTATCCTACACAATCCCTAACCTCTCATTAACCATTACCTTACCCAAATACACACCCTACTGTAACACTATACCCTAGCTATCCTACAATCCCTAACCCTCATTAACCATTACCTTACCCAAATACAAACCCTACCTGTAACACTATGCTTACAGTAACTGTATACTGCCCTAAGCGTTCTCCTACACAATCCCTAACCCTCATTAACCATTACCCCAAATACAAACCCTACCTGTAACACTATGCTTACAGTAACTGTATACTGCCCTAAGCGTTATCCTACACAATCCCTAACCCCTCATTAACCATTACCCCAAATACAAACCCTACCTGTAACACTATGCTTACAGTAACTGTATACTGCCCTAAGCGCTATCCTACACAATCCCTAACCCTCATTAACCATTACCTTACCCAAATACAAACCCTACCTGTAACACTATGCTTACAGTAACTGTATACTGCCCTAAGCGTTATCCTACACAATCCCTAACCTCTCATTAACCATTAGCTTACCCAAATACAAACCCTACCTGTAACACTATGCTTACAGTAACTGTATACTGCCCTAAGCATTATCCTACACAATCCCTAACCTCTCATTAACCATTACCTTACCCAAATACAAACCCTACCTGTAACACTATGCTTACAGTAACTGTATACTGCCCTAAGTACACAATCCCTGTACAAACCCTACTGTAACACTATGCTTACAGTAACTGTATACTGCCCTAATCCTACACAATCCCTAACCTCGCATTAACCATTACCTTACCCAAATACAAACCCTACCTGTAACACTATGCTTACAGTAACTGTATACTGCCCTAAGCGTTATCCTACACAATCCCTAACCCCTCATTAACCATTACCTTACCCAAATACAAACCCTACCTGTAACACTATGCTTACAGTAACTGTATACTGCCCTAAGCGTTATCCTACACAATCCCTAGCCCCTCATTAACCATTACCCCAAATACAAACCCTAACTGTAACACTATGCTTACAGTAACTGTATACTGCCCTAAGCGTTCTCCTACACAATCCCTAACCCCTCATTAACCATTACCCCAAATACAAACCCTACCTGTAATACTATGCTTACAGTAAGTGTATACTGCCCTAAGCGCTATCCTACACAATCCCTAACCCCTCATTAACCATTACCTTACCCAAATACAAACCCTACCTGTAACACTATGCTTACAGTAACTGTATACTGCCCTAAGCGTTATCCTACACAATCCCTAACCTCTCATTAACCATTACCTTACTCAAATACAAACCTACACTGACCTCTAACACAAACCTTTAACCCTCTAATATCTATACGGTTGTCAGCAGATGTATTTCCTAGTTGAAATCGTAGAAAGACGTATGTTGCTGACATCTGCTGGCTGTTTTCAGCATTACAGGTATACTTTTTTTTTTTTGCTGTGCAGCTAGTACAATCGTCATGGGTGTATCCAGACTCCATCTGCCAGCCCAGAAACACTGATCTGCTCCGTTACAGTATCTTAATGGGATTTAAAGGGCTGTAGGTAGCGCTCACTTTAAGCTCTGCACACAGATTTTTGGTCAGCCTATAGCCAGTAAATGTGGTATTGATTGATACCTAGGACTCCCTGGTGTGATTTAACCCTGATTTAACCAAAATGTTATGAAGTTCCATACTGTCCTAACAGCATTAAACCCATTATGTTAATTTACATTTTTTCATTGGGGTATTTCTAAAAACAGCCTGCAGAAGCTGCAGATCTCTTGTCTGCAGTCTTTGCAAGCCCTCCCCTTCTTACCCCGCCCAGACTTTCTGTGGCTGTCCAATCACAGACTTCCCAATGCAGCTCAATGAAAGGTCTTTGCAAGGCAGTTGCTCTGGGCAATTGCTACTTTTTGAGTTTATCTCCACTGAGCTAAATAAACCAGGAATTAACAGGACCGGGTGTCTAATGACCTTCGTACACCCCCCTGCCGGCTAACAAAGTGCCAATTTAATTAAAATTTTCTGCACTTTTTGTAAAATGGGTGTGGAGGATATTGACTTACTTTCGACATATAAATCTCTTCAGCAAGATAAACTGCTTTAGGAGTCTGGAGTGTTAACATTGATATATTTCAAAGAAATCATTATTGTAGAAGCAAGTTTGGCAACCCTTTCTGTTCCCCTCTTCTTACTTCCATACCTGTTCAATAACTCCTCATGACTAGTGAGAGAGGTGTGTTTGAGTGTGAAAGATATAATCTCAAGTAGCTTTTTTTTTTATTTTTCATCCAAATTGTGAATCCGATAGAGACAGGGGTTTGTGTACTTATCCTGAACTTGTTAAAATCATCCACAATGAGGAATAGCTTGATACATGCTGGGCTATTACATCTGTAGAGTGTATATCTGTTTTAGTGTATTTTTAGCTGTTTCTTTAAACCTTCTGTTCTGTCTTAAAATAGTTATCTCAGCGGCTTGCAATTAAATTCTGGGAATTGGCTGCTGTAGACTGAAGGGTCTCAATATAGAAAAGATAATTAATAGACGTTTGATTCTAGATTTTTTGACTGTAAATAACATTGTTAATTCTTCTAGGTTTACGTGTCCTATGATTATGGTAAAAGCTTTAAGAAAATCTCAGAGAAATTCCTTTTCCCAGACGGCAATACAAGCATTCCAGCAGTGGCGCAGTTCTTTCACAGCCCCGTGGATAACAAGAGGGTAACGCATCTTTGGTTGATTTCCAGATTTTCTCCTTTTGACAGTAACATTGCTGAATTCTATTTAATGTTACATTACTTACCATCTCTAAATGTGTAAAATGAGGTCAGTTTTCTACTTTCAAAACATGATTTGGTTCTTGCCACCTTCAAATCTTTGTTCCATCGATTAGAGGTATTAAAGGAAGCGTCTTGGGAGGTACAGTCCTTACTGCTAACCTACCGGCGAATACAGAGAGACCAGCAGACAAAATAGAGAGAATAAAACTTTAATAAAACAAATGTTCCCTTTGGTGCGATGACCAGTAGCAGTCCAGTTATTGAGTGTATTCTCCCATGATGCACTGCCAGTTGTAGTAGTGAAAACTGGATATTGTTAGATCTTCTTCGTAATGAGTCACAGTTTTTTGGATAACTATATCTGTATTCAATGGTATGTGGGGGGATAATTCCCATATATACGGTTTCCAGACCCTAACGCTATCCCTTTGTGAATGTGCATATGATCTCCATATCCAATACTCCATCTGGTAAATGGACATGTGCTCTCCTTGTACTATCTCTATATCTGGGTAACTGTGTATGTGGTTTCCAAAGCCTATATCTGTATTCGGTAAATGTGCATGTGGATTCCATATCCTATAGCTATATCTGGGTAAATGGGCATGTGGATTCCGTATCCTATAGCTATATCTGGGTAAATGGGCATGTGGATTCCATATCCTATAGCTATATCTGGGTAAATGGGCATGTGGATTCCATATCCTATAGCTATATCTGGGTAAATGGGCATGTGGATTCCATATCCTATAGCTATATCTGGGTAAATGTGCATGTGGATTCCATATCCTATAGCTATATCTGGGTAAATGGGCATGTGGATTCCGTATCCTATAGCTATATCTGGGTAAATGGGCATGTGGATTCCGTATCCTATAGCTATATCTGGGTAAATGGGCATGTGGATTCCGTATCCTATAGCTGTATCTGGGTAAATGGCATGTGGATTCCGTATCCTATAGCTATATCTGGGTAAATGGTCATGTGGATTCCATATCCTATAGCTATATCTGGGTAAATTGGCATGTGGATTCCGTATCCTATAGCTATATCTGGGTAAATGGGCATGTGGATTCCGTATCCTATAGCTATATCTGGGTAAATGGGCATGTGGATTCCGTATCCTATAGCTATATCTGGGTAAATGGGCATGTGGATTCCGTATCCTATAGCTATATCTGGGTAAATGGGCATGTGGATTCTATATAATTCTCTCCCTTTGCTTTGCAGTACATCTTCGTGGATGCCAGTTCTTCATACCTGTGGATCAGCACTGACTTCTGTACCACAGTCACAGGGTTTTCTGTGCCCTTTAAACCCACTGACCTTCTCTTGCACAGCACAGATCCAAACCTTGTTCTTGGCTATGACAAGTCACACCCCAATAAGCAGGTAAGTACTATATGAATCAGTTTAGCTATGCCATGTAAATCCTGGCTCATTGTAAGACTGCATGTTTTACTTTCCAGATGTATTTCCTATTCTCGCTTCAATTGCTTTGCTTTTTCCTGATTACGCTTTAAACCGCTTCCTGGGTGCATTCATTAAAGACTCCATGGTGTCAACTCAAAAGCACAGCAGTCATCAACAGACAATTTGCATTAAATTCATTATTCAGCTGGCCTGGGTTATTTATGGCCGTAACGTTTCAGGCAGCAGTTGGCCTGCGTTATCAAGACAGTAACATTTCATTCAGTAATTGGCCTGCGTTATAGAGGTGGTAACTTTTCATACAGCAGTTGGCCTGTGTTATCAAGGCGGTGTCATTTCATGTAGCCGTTGGCCTGCCTTATCGAGGCGGTAACTTTTCATAAATCAATTGGCCTGTGTTATCGAGGCAGTAACATTTCATATAGCAGTTGGCCTGCATTTTTGAGGTAGTAACTTTTCATACAGCAGTTGGCCTGTGTTATCGAGGCGGTAACATTTCATGTAGTAGTTGGCCTCGTTATTGAGGCGGTAACATTTTGAGCAGCAGTTGGCCTGCGTTACTTATGGCGGTAACATTTCATGTAATAGTTGGGCTGTGTTATCAAGGCAGTAACATTTGTTTGTGTTCGTGTGCTGTGTAGTGTAATCTGTAAGCATGGTTTTAAACTAGAATCTAGCAAACCCATATTTCAGTGCTCCCTCCAGCCCAGTGCTCTGACCATGACCAGCGGTGATACATGATTTGACTTTGTAAATCCATGTCCGCCTCAGTCCTATAGTCCAGAATGAACATTGTGATTATTAATATAGTTAATATTTAGCTTTTATTTTCGTGTCTATCTGTGTGTGTGTGTGTGATATATATATTATATTATATTATATATTATCCCGGCCAGGAAAGGTTCACATACATTTCCTTTTAATATAAAATAACTTATCATATAATCTGAGAGCATGTAGGATTCAGTGGAATCTGATAAGAAACCAGCTGTTCAGTAAAGCTACGATTTGGGGAATTCTCATTTTATGAACAGTCAATCTTTGCGGTTTGTCGTATCACAGAGACTCCATCTTGTAGTAAATATTTCCCAGTTAGGATACTATAATAGTGTGTATAATGGTATAGGACATGGCTTTATTTATTGTAAGTTCTCTATAAGGAAGATGAGATCTCTCCGTAACGTGCCTTGCCAAACCGTCACATATTGTTCATTGCATACACGACTTGTGTGATAACTTTCTCCTGGCACTTTGTTTTACAAGTCACTATACAATCCGTTCCGGTGTAATTATTACGGCTCCAGTAATTGACACTATTGATGTTTGTTTTTTAATGATCCCTTTGTCCTGGATGGACATTGTATAACAGGGTCCATCGGCTGGTAAATATTTTGTTAAGAATAAACCTTACTCTTACTTTTTCAGCTTTGGAAATCGGATGATTTTGGTCACACCTGGTTAATGATTCAAGAACATGTGAAAACCTTTTATTGGTACGTATTTTGTGTTCGGTCTTCTTAAAGTCACTTTTATTTTAAATCTCTCAAAATAAAATCAAAGACTAAATTTGACAAAATATGTGGGCATGCTAGCCTCCTGCCTACTCTAACTAGGTTCACATCTATGTATTAACTGAATATGTGTGTGTGTGTGTGTGTGTGTGTGTGTGTGTGTGTGTATATATATTTATTTGTGGTCGGGGACAATAAGGCGGGTTATAATAGTAGTGGCATAAGTCTGTTATGTCCGTATGTATATAAAACTTTGCATGAATATTCTTCGACTGCCACATATCACATGATTTCTTTCTGTTTATTGGTTAATGATCTGGTTTTCTTTATAATTTTGCTTGCATTTGTTTTTTGAACTGTAAACTGATCCATTATCCAGTAATTTCCCCCCCTACCTCCACTCTTAGGGGTGTGCATCCATATGACAAGCCGAATACAGTTTATGTTGAACGCCACGAACCTCGGGGGACGTCCACTGTCCTTCGCAGTATAGACTATTTTCAGTCCAGAGAGAAAACAGAAGTCATTTTAGAAGATGTTGATGCATTTCAGTTGCGGGAAAAATATATGTTTGCCACTAAGACCGTGGTAAGTTAGTTAATACCCTGTATGTTTGGGGAAGAATACAGCAAATGTAAATTGGATACTTTTTTATTTAAAAAAAAAAAGTTAAATGGACATACTAGGCACCAAAACAGATTGAGCTTAGTGGATCAGTTTTGGTGTATAGATCATGCCCCTGTAGTCTCACTGCTAAATTCTGTCATTTAGGAGGTTACAATTTTAATCAGAATTATTTAATCTCCAATGAAAATCAGGTTTATTGTCAAAATTTACAGACTTTGTTTTTTGCAATGAACAAATCAAACAAAAGCAATTGAAATAGCTCAACACAACAAATACTTTGAGTGGTTTTCAAAATTCAACTGAAAATGCTACTTAAAATATGCAAAACAGGTGTTTCTGAAACACATCTGATGCAACTAATCAAGCGCTTCATTAGCTGCATCAAATGTGCTTGAGCTGGAACACTTAAAATACCTGAACTAGCAATGGTTTGTGGAGTGTCACATATTACTACATGTTAGAAATGTCTCAAGAATGGTCCACAAAGTTAAGAGAAGAGATCATCTCCCTTCACAAACAAGAACAGGATACAAAAAGATAGCGAAGGCACTTAATATACTTAGACACTGCATTGGAAGCATAGTTCCCAAGTTCAAAGTTGAAGAAACGGTGGTTAATCTACCTGAATTGGGCAGGCCAATGGCAGCAATCAGATTTCTGAGAAGGCAGGTTGTAGAAAGACTTACAGCATGACTTGGTGATAACGCTCATAGAGGTTTCAGTGAGAACAGTACAGTGCGTACTGAATGCAGAAGGTTTCCATGCTAGACGTACAACACTACTGACCCAAAAGCACAAGAATGTGCTCAAAATAATGTGAATAAGCCAGATATTTGGGGATTTTTTTCCATGGAGTGATTGAAAAAAACTGTAACTTTTTGACCCAATTAATCAGCGGTATGTCTGGAGGAAGAAGAAAGACGCATATGCTGAAAAGAACACTCTGCCTACAGTTAAGCATGGTGGTGGCTCAGTGATTCTCTAGAGCTGCTTCACATCCTCTGACACTGGAAATCTGTTGGACTTTCTAACAAGACAATGATCCCAAGTATACTTCAAATTCCACCAAGGCTTGGTTGCAGAAGTCATTTAACCTTCTACAGTGGCCATCCCAGTCACCTGACTTGAACCCCAAAGAAAATCTGGTGGGATTTGAAGAAGGCGGTTGCAGCACACCAACCCAAGAATATTACTGAATGGGACATCATTGCTCATAAGCAAAGGGCTAGGATTCCTCAGGAACGCTGCCAGTAGCCGGTGTCTGGCTATGCATCTCGTTTGCACCAGGTCATAACAGCAAAAGGGATCTCTACTAAGTACTAATGATGCTTGCCATGAAGGGGTCGAATCATTTTGAGACTGCAGAAGTTATAAGTTGCATTTTCAGTTGAAGCATTTGTTGTGTTGAGCTATTTCAATTGCTTCTCTTTGATTTGTTCATTGCAAACAGCTGAATGTCTGTACATTTTGACAATAAACCTTCAATGAGGATTAAATTATTTTGATTACAACTGCTACTTTGTTTATACAGCCCTAGTCACATCTCTCTGTATGTTGCACAGCCTCCCTAAACACTTCCTAGTGAGATTTAATGTTTAACCTTCCTTTATTTTCTTTAATTTAGAATGCATTATCTCCTGTTCTGTTTATCGCTTGCTAGACCCTGCAGGAGCCTCATGTATGTAAGTGTAGGAGATTTTAAAAAATTAATTAAAAAAAACTTCTAAAGCAAGTTAACATCTGACTGAAAAGCCATTTTGTTTTCATGCATGCTGTGACAGTCACAGCCAGGGGTGGTGTGGCTAGGGCCACTAAAACAAAGTGGTTTAACCCCTAAATTGCAGAGAATTAAACTGTGAGTCTGCAGGGGTATGGTCTATACACTAAAACTGCTACATTAAGCTAACATTCTTTTAATGCCCATAGTGTCCCTTTAAGCATTCCATTTTAAATTATTTCAATAACCCAATGCTCCACTTCCCTTACAGCTTTAACCTGAAACCATAAAACACACTTTGCACCTTTACTGTCACATGTCTAAAGATATAGCAAGGCTTTGGTTCTAATCTCCTATTATAAATAGAAATCTAATAATCTCAGTATTCATTAAGTCAAATATTGGCGTGTAAAAAGAAAAAAATAGATATCCTTGTAGAAAGGTTGTTTTTTTTATTTTTTTTATTATGATAAATTATGCCAGTTTTCACAGATCTAATATGAAGCCTCCTGTCATGTGATAACATTTTCATTTCAGCAGACCACCAAGTTTAGAATGGCAGGAAAAAGTAAAGTGAAACTGAAAACCTTGGTGTTGGTGCTTTGCAGAAATAATGGCGTGAATTTAACATTTTTAATTGTTTTAATAAATTGTGACAAACATTTGCTGAAATTTAGACGTAAAAGTTCTGGCAAAACCTTGCTTAATATCTCCAGGAACCCTTCTTAAAATGTATTTTATTATACTTGGTTTATCTAGAGACTCCCTCGCGGGGATCATGGGATATTGGCTTTATTTATTAAAAGTCATTTGTTTGCTTGTGTGCAGTAAATGTCTTCATGTGCTGGCTGTTGCACTGTGTATTTTTAATGTATTTTGTCCTTTCTAGCGTCTCTTCGGTGGAAAGAATCCATTTTCCGTCCAGCTCTGGGTTTCTTATAACCGCAATCACATGAGAATGGCGCAGTTTGCAACCAGACATCCTATAACCGTGAGTAGAAATGTATGAACTGTTCCGTGCAGGGTGAACTCGGTAAACCAAAGGCATCTTGGTGTGTTAATAGGAGGCATGCGATATGTACAATGACACACCAACTGCTACTGCTAAACTGTGAACATATCCCATCGATAGCCATCGCCTGTTACTCAGCCGAAAATAAGGAGGAAAGTAAAACCACAGACCCAGAACATACCATTAATTAGTGCGGTATGGTTATTGCTTTTAAAGAACTCTCAGGGGATATTTAAAAAGACACTTGAAACACACATAACGGGTTGAAGTTCTTTGTGTGAACAATGTGTACTTTTGTTTCCAATTTTAAAAGAAATTCACACTTTCATAGATGAACCACCTTACACCTCGCAATCAGAAACATTTCTCCTCCTTTCTGTATGCTCTGTGCTGACTGCCCGATATAAAGGGCGGAGCTTATAACAATGACTGACAGGGAGCTAAGATGGAGGTGGCTCTCTCTATACTGACTGCCAGGTGTAATGGGCGGAGCTTATAACAATGATTGACAGGAAGCTGAGATGGAGGCGGCTCTCTCTATACTGACTGCCAGGTGTAATGGGCGGAGCTTATAACAATGATTGACAGGGAGCTAAGATGGAGCTGGCTCTCTCTATACTGACTGCCAGGTGTAATGGGCGGAGCTTATAACAATGATTGACAGGAAGCTGAGATGGAGGCGGCTCTCTCTATACTGACTGCCAGGTGTAATGGGCGGAGCTTATAACAATGATTGACAGGGAGCTAAGATGGAGCTGGCTCTCTCTATACTGACTGCCAGGTGTAATGGGCGGAGCTTATAACAATGATTGACAGGGAGCTAAGATGGAGCTGGCTCTCTCTATACTGACTGCCCGATATAAAGGGCGGAGCTTATAACAATGATTGACAGGGAGCTAAGATGGAGACTCCCAGTTACAGAATAAAGAGATGTGGATTTCTAAAAAATTTTAAATTTTTTTTTTTTTTTTTCCATACCTAACAAGTTCATTTGAAATGGTGTCTGTTTGAAACGTGTGGGATTAGCTTTTTACCATGTTACGGAGGTAATGAGAGCTGGACATGGGTACTAAGTAGGAAATCAAAACTGTATTCTGATTGGCTGTTAGTTGGGTTTCGTAATTTGTTAGAATAGATCTTAAATCTATTGACTAAATATATTGTATGTTTTACTTTGTAAGGAATATTACATCACCGATGCATCTGAAGATCAGGTGTTTGTGTGCGTCACTCACACCAACAACGTGACAAACCTGTACATTTCGGAAGCAGACGGTCTACGATTTTCACTTTCTTTGGAAAATGTTCTGTATTTTAACCCTGAGCAAGTGGGAACAGAAACATTGGTCAGGTAGGCTGAATGTTTCTCTGTCTTTCTCTGTGCAATATCTGTCTACTTTAAAGGGACACTATAGTCACCAGAACTACAGCTAATTGTATTTGTTCTGGTTAGGATAATTATTCCATTCAGGCTTTTTGCAATAAACACGTCTTTTAGAGAAAATGCAGTTTTCATATTAGAGCCTAGTGATAACTCCACTGGGCACTCTTAGATGGCTGCTAGAGGTGCTTCCTGGGGCAGTGCTCCACAGTGTGACTGACATTCGGTGTCTCCTCACTCTGCATGCAGACCCTGAACTTTCCTCATAGAGATCCATTGATTCAATAAATCTCTCTATGAGGAGATGCTGATTGGCCAGGGCTGTGTTTGGCTTGAGCTGGCTCTGCCTCTGATCTGCCTCCTTAAAAGTCTTGGCCAATCCTATTGAAAAGCATTGTGATTGATTCAGAGAATCACTTCTGATGTCAGCCAAGCAGGCAGATCAGGAGCAGAGGCAGCAGCTGCAGACTTGAATAAAAGTAAAATTTTGCTATATTTAGGGGGGGCGAGTGGAGGGGGGTTAGATGGTGGTTTTAACACTATAGGGCAGGGGTAGGCAACCTTTGGCACTCTAGATGTTTTGGACTACACATCCCATGATGCTTTGCCAGCATTATGGCAGTGTGAGCATTGTGGGTATGTAGTCCACCACATGAAGGTTGACTATCCCTTCTATAGGGTTAGGAATACATGTTTGTGTTCCTGACTTTATAGTGTTCTTTTAATAAACTCTGAGCAATCAGTGTCTTTTAAAGATAAGAACGTAAACACAATCTATCAAACTCAGCAGGCGTGAAAATATAGTCAAAATAGTAGATTTCCCCCCTCACCCTTATTTTTATGGTTTAAAGTAAATTTTAAATGCAGAAATATACCTTAGAAAATGTAAAGTTTGCTAAATGTTAACAAATTCATCAGCACTTTCAATAGGGATCTCCCTAACAGATCTTGTAGAGTTCTATATCCGTATTCTGATCTTTGCGGTCTATGTAAATCACCTGTTTCATGCACTGTCTCTACCTTTACAAATTGGCCAGAAATAAAATAAAAAGAGCTAAATCTGGAATTAAGGAGCCAAGTGTTATTTCACAAGCCGTATTCACATCTTACATCCGTATAGATATTTGGAGAAGGAGCCCTTTGCTGATGTACACCGCGTGAAAGGGGTCAGTGGCGTTTACATCGCTAATATGATAAATGGATCCTTCTCGAAGGAGAACATGCGTTCCGTTATAACATTTGATAAAGGAGGGACGTGGGAATTTCTTCAGGCCCCGGTTTACAATGGTTACGGAGAGAAGTGTGAGGTAATGGCAGCCATGGGGTGTCTTTAATTTCCAGTACAAAATTCTTCAAAACTTTTTAACTTCTTTTCAATAATGTGACTCTGTCCATAATACATTAGTTTTAAGCAAAAATTCTGGGCACAGATTGTGGCCCTCTTGATCTTCTACTAGCCTTTTTTGTGTAGATTTATTTATTTTTAAATAGAATCCGTTATTAGTGTCATTTAAACAAATAAATATACATATACATATACATATACATATATATATATATATATATATATATACACTATCTATCCATAATAATTGAAAAAGTGACTTACCCAGGTGAAATGTATTGTGACCGGCGTCTAAACGCATTCACCACGCATGTCCATGAGGCCATTCCCCCTCCGTGATCACGCGGTCCCTGCGCAATGACGTCTCGTAAATCCGTTACTATGGCGACACGGCAATCATCGCCATGGTGACCGCCTAAAAGTGACACACCGTGATTAGAAATTAATGGAAGCCCGATTATCATAGGCTGTTGTGTATAATTACATGCAAGAGAAGAAAAGTGATTAAAAACCATAATAGTTGTAAAAGGCAACAGTAACATCTGAAAAAAAACTATTTAAGCCAATACTTAGCAATGTAGACTGTGGTGCTGAACCAGAGTGTTGTACTATAGTAAATATAATATGGTTGCTAGGATACATCAAATCCTTAAAGTGCCACTTCTGAGATAGTGCTTAAAATGCTGTATATATCACAAAATGTAGAAAGTCCTTGCACCCACGCTTGGTAGACTGTTTGCCGGGTGCTTGAAATCCAGGAAAATTGAAATATATGTAGATCGTGATCAGCACTCTCGGACTTTGAAGATTAAAACCTAAAGTTTATTAATTATCCATTAAAAATAAGATCGACGTTTCAGTCCCAGCAGGGACTTTCATCAGGATCAGACACATATGCCTGATCCTGATGAAAGTCCCTTCTGGGACTGAAACGTCGATCTTATTTTTAATGGATAATTAATAAACTTTAGGTTTTAATCTTCAAAGTCCGAGAGTGCTGATAGATAGATATCCTTTTTGAATGCGCAGTTTGCAGAGTGCAAACCGCTATCCCAAAATTCCTCCTTTTATTAAATCTCAATAAAAAAAATATGGTGTATGTATATACGTGTCTGTGTATATCTGTCACGTTCTCAATGGAGTTTGTTTGTTTCTGAGTTTTTTTGGGGTTTTTTTTTTTCTTCCAAGTCTTTCAAGGTTAATATGTTGCCCTATCTCGTAAATTAACACTTTTGTGTTTTGTTTTTTTTCGCAGTCATCACGCGGTTGTTCACTTCACTTGGCGCAGCCACTCAGCAGAATGATTACCTTTCAGTTTCGGGTCATGCCAATTCTCTCCAAGGAGTCTGCACCGGGTTTAATCATGGCTACAGGTGCATCTGTTTATTTTTTTATTTTTTTTTAGCAGAATATGTATATGTTTTGGTTGTTCATTATATGTAATAGATACACAAGGGATTGACATGGGTATTTCAGTGTGAGTTGTGTGAGCACAATTTGAAGTGTGAAACCAGTTACGTGCATGGTGTGTAAGTTGTTTGGGTGTCCGTAACGTACACATTTGATGTAGAAGTTGCTGATCGGGAACTGAAATAAATATATATGGTTATTTTTATTTGAGTTAAAGTTTTTTTATTTTTTTATTTTTTTTTATTTTATCATAACTGTGCATGTGCCCAGTGTTGTGGTAACACCATGTGACGAACGCTAACCAGTTTGACTTTGCAGGTACCGTTGGGAGGGACATGACCGGTAAAACAAACATGTATGTATCCAGCAGCGCCGGAGTAAGATGGCGGGAGGTAAGTTGTGTGAGGCCTTCCTGTTCAGTCTAATAGACCAGGCAGAGAAGCGGTTATTTTCTGCTGCGTTAAATAGCCAAATATTTAGCAACTAGTTATAAAATGGAGATGTCCCTAATTTGCAGTCTTTCTTCCATTTTGTCTCAGTCACTTCTCGGCCCCCACTACTGTACTTGGGGAGATCACGGAGGGATCCTGGTTGCAATTGCTCAAGGAATGGAAACCAATCAATTAAAGTACATTATACATTTTATACTGAATATTGTGAGGATCTATGAGTTAGATTAAAATGTATTTCGATTATAGTGTGTTTTGTACTATATAGATTATAATGTAAATATTATAAGGAATTTTTGAAATAAACTGTGTATGTAAATATGAAAGCAAAGATTTTCTTAGAGGTGTGTGTGTGAATGTATGTATATGTGTGTGTGTGAATGTATGTATATGTGTGTGTGTGAATGTATGTATATGTGTGTGTGTGAATGTATGTATATGTGTGTGTGTGAATGTATGTATATGTGTGTGTGTGTGAATGTATGTATATGTGTGTGTGTGAATGTATGTATGTGTGTGTGTGTGAATGTATGTATATGTGTGTGTGTGAATGTATGTATATGTGTGTGTGTGAATGTATGTATATGTGTGTGTGTAAGCAAATATGTATAGTTTAAAAAACATATACCACCGGGGGCGCCACAATCACAAACATGTGAATATATTTACCATGGTATGTTCATGGGTATGCATATAAGGAGATAAAAATAAAAGTATATATAGTGAAGTATTTAATAACAAATAGAAAAATAATAAAAAATAATTGCACTCACAAATGTAGTTGCACAACAAGAACATATGTCCTAATTGTGCTAAGAAAGCCTGTCAGCCCTTAATTGGGCTAGAGTCCCCTCTTGTAGCAGGATCCCGATTTTCAAAAGTTCCAATGGCCTCCAGTAATAATCTGCTTGAAGGTGGATGAGATCCAAAGATACTAGGGACACTGGCCGACTTGTAGCTGCTCGACGCGTTTCGTCCGATCGACTTTTTCAAGAGCTGTGTGTTTCTGTTCTTCTTCCGGCTTTTTAAATGATCAGGTTCGCGCGGCTTTCAGTGTTGCGCGCATGCGCATTACGGTAAAACTTTACCGCGCATGCTCACACATCCAGCTTGAAACGCAAAACCAACTTTATTGATACTTTGCGCCGACAAAACACATTTCCGTACCGGACCACTTGGTCTTACGGAATAATATGTGGGCACTTCAAGCTTTTGTTCATCATACATAGTTGATCTTCATACATAAAATACTGATGAACCATCTTTTAAAAGGCAAAGGTAAAAGGCATTTTAAGTGCATCACATATAGAGTTCTACTATTAGAAGTGGGAAATTAAGCATACTGTAGACAGAAACAAACATATTATGAGAAACATATTATAAAAAATATATGTAATAAAAACATCATGTTACATTTTATACAGTGTTACAATACTTTATACAAAACTGATATTTACATATAACAAACTGTATATATAACTAATAATCATTTTATTTTATTCGGATGAGAGACCTGGCGAAGACATCATTAGGTTCTATTAGAATCATTCATAAATAAATGAGAGATCATTTCATTGGAAGTTAATTCATTAAAAAGTTATTGATAAAAAATTGTAATTATTAATAAAATACAAATCGTGCAAATTAATGCCAATTCTATGGAAACAAAAATTATAATATAGTGATAAAACTACCACTTACTGAAAAGGACTTTCTAAAAACCAAATTATTTACAAAAATTTTTTTTAAAAAAATTGATTCATAAAAGATTAATTCATAAAAAATTAATTAATTTATAAAAAATTAAAATTAAAATTAAAAACTCTTATAAATAATTTATAAGAATCAATCCATAAACACCAATAAATCTAAATCAACATTTAATCCTCTTGGAAAAGTGGTTTTGAGTCTATGGATCCACTCTGTTTCTTTCATGGCTAGCGCTTTTTCTGTGTCGCCCCCTCTCCAATGTGGAATTATCGTATCTATCCCTATACATCTAAAATCCTGGAAACTAAAATGGGTGCAATTTATACAATGTTTGGGAACACTATGTTTTATATTCCCTCTTTTTATCCCATTAAAGTGTTCCAAGATTCTAATGTGGAGTTTTCTTATTGTACGACCCACATATTGTATGCCACATTTACATTCAAGTAGATAAATTACATTTTTTGTCTGACAATTTATAAAGTTTTTTATTTTAAAAACTTCTTTAGTGGCAGTGCAGGTAAATTCTGTTGTTTTCTGTTTTTGGAATTTGCATGTACTGCACTGCCCACATTTAAAAAAACCTTTTGGTTTTTCTTTAAGAAAATTGCCCGTTGTGGCTTCTTCTTTAGTGGGTTTGACACGGGGTAGAGCGCTTGGAGCTAAAATAGATTTAAAATTCTGGGTCTTTTTGTAAATAATTTGGGGTTTACTTGGTAAAATATCCTTTAAAAGTTGATCTTGTTTTAAAATGGGCCAAAATTTCTTCATAGTTTTCTCTATAAGGTGAGCTTTATTGTTGTATCTGGTTAAAAAGGAGATGCTATAATCCTTCTTGTTTTTCTTATATACCTTTTTATCTTTTAAAAGTTTATTTCTATCTTTGTCTTCTATCTGTTTTTCTGAATTGATCAAAAGTTGAGATGGATAATGTCTTTTTTCAAATTTTTTGTTTAACATTTTAACTTGTTCTTTAAAATCACTTTTGTTAGTACAGTTTCTAAGGAGTCTCGTTTGTTGTCCCTTCGGTATATTATTCAGCCAATTGGGGTGGTGACAGCTAGAATATTCTATAAAGCTGTTCCCATCCGTTGGTTTAAAAAAAGTTTTATTACAAACTACTCCTGATGATACAAAGAAAGAAAGATCTAAAAAATTAATTAATACTCTCCGTCTGAATTTCAGCCGTAAAAAGCAATCCATAAGTATTATGGTTGATATATAATAAAAATTCTTCTAAAAGAGACCTATCCCCTTCCCAAATAATAAGGACATCATCAATATATCTTCTCCAGAGCACCAGGTTCGCACCGTATGGATTGTTGTTCCAAATTTTCTTCGCTTCCCAATCCGCCACAAAGATATTGGCATAACTAGGTGCGAACCTGGTGCCCATTGCAGTTCCACAAGTTTGGAGGTAATATGTACCTTCAAACCAAAAGAAATTGTGAAAGAGGATAAAACGAATGATATCTAAAATTAAGGTTGCTTGTGCTTCATGCATATTTATATCCTTTCCTAAAATTTCCCTAATGGCCTCAATACCTTTCTCATGATCGATCGACGTATACAGAGATGAAACGTCTACCGTGGCCCAAATATAGTTCTCTTTCCACGTCATACCTTCTACCTCTACAATAATTTGATTTGAATCTTTAATGTATGAGGGAGCTTTTGGAACATATTTCTGTAAAAAGTAATCTACATATTCTGACACATTACTAGTCAACGAGCCAATGCCACTAATTATTGGCCTCCCTGGAGGATCGATAAGTGATTTATGAATCTTTGGCAAATAATAAAATATAGCCATTTTTGGAAATTTAATAAAAAGGTATTCAAATTCGTCCTTTTTAATGATATCTTTCTTAAAACTTTCTGACAATAGTTTAAAAAGCTCTTTCTTATATGTTTCCATGGGGTTAGATTTTAAAATAATGTATGTGTCTCTATCATTTAAAATTCTATACGATTCTTTCAAATAATCATCACGATTTAGAATAACTATACCTCCCCCTTTATCTGCCTGTTTTATGACAAGTTCATGGTTTTCTTTAAGTTGTTTTAAAGCATTTCTTTCTTTTTTAGTGAGGTTCTCCTTTCCGTTATTCTTTGTTATTATCTCGAATTCATTTAGAACCATATCACTAAAAACCGGGATGAAATCTCCCTTTTCCCAAGTTGGAAAAAACTTTGATTTGTGTTTCAGACCTGAATATAGAATTTGTGGGGATATGGATTCTATATTCTCTTTCTCACTGTTATCGCCAAGTCCCTCGTCCTCTCTTTTCTTTTTCTCAAAGAAACGTTTGATAGTCAGTTTCCTCAAAAATTTCTGGATATCAATAAATAATTCAAATTGGTTAGGGCCTTTTTGTGGGGCAAATTTCAATCCTCTATCTAAAATGCTGGCTTCAGCTTTATTCAATTTATATTTAGAAAGATTAAAAATACCTTCTAGATTATCATAGTTCTTATTCTCTTCTAACTCTTTCAATAATCTGACATTTCTCCCTCCTCCATTTCCCCTAATCCTCCTACGGCTCCTAGGAGTTTCCTCTTTTTGGGTGGAGTTTGAGCTGAACTTAGAGGGGTAAATCTGTTCCTCTGTTGCCAGTAATTTTTTATTGTTGGACTTCTCAAAACTTGATTCTTTTGTCCTCTTCCTAAAAAATCTTTTTGTGTGGTTCTTACACTATCTTTTGTCCTATCTGTCTCCATAAATCTTGATTTATCCTTTCTCCTGACAATGGGGTTTTCATATTTCATTTTCCCAGATTTAATCGGGGTATTCCACTGAACCCTAGATGGTTTTTCAATCTTTCTTCTATCGTCATTTTTATATGTTTGTCTCTCTATATTGGGATAAGTCACTCTATAATTTGATCTATAGTTTTTAAAGTGTTTCTTTTTCCACTCTCTTTGTTTTCCATTTTTATAGTCCTCTTTGTCTCTATTTAGTTTACCTTCTTTCGTAGTTAAAATTTTTTCTTCTAATTTTTCTATTTTATTATTCAATTCTATACTGTGTTGTTGTATTCTCTCTTCAGTGTATTCATTACTGATTTCCGTTTCGATAATTTTTATCTCCTTTTCTACTTCATTTATTTCACTCTGTTGGAATTCTATCAATAAGTTCATTAGTTTCAGGGAACATTTCTCTAAAGTATCGTTCCACTTAACCATAAAATTTTCATTTTCTAACCCGAAGGCTGGTTGTTTTTCAATTCTCAGACCTCTCGGGGTTATTCCCAATTTTATATATTGCTGTAAATATTTTATTTCCCACCATTTTTTAACCTCTTTTTCTGCCAGTCTTTCTAACTTTAGAAATAAGAAGCTTTTTTCTATGGTGGGACTTATCTCTTTTTTAGAAAATAAATTTTCAAACCTCTTATTTCTTGCTTCTCTCATAGAGGTAGTCATTAATCTACAATAAGCCATTTATGTAGATTGATATAGCAAAATTAAGGAATATATAACACAATCACAATCACAATTGCTTTTTACGGCTGAAATTCAGACGGAGAGTATTAATTTTTTAGATCTTTCTTTCTTTGTATCATCAGGAGTAGTTTGTAATAAAACTTTTTTTAAACCAACGGATGGGAACAGCTTTATAGAATATTCTAGCTGTCACCACCCCAATTGGCTGAATAATATACCGAAGGGACAACAAACGAGACTCCTTAGAAACTGTACTAACAAAAGTGATTTTAAAGAACAAGTTAAAATGTTAAACAAAAAATTTGAAAAAAGACATTATCCATCTCAACTTTTGATCAATTCAGAAAAACAGATAGAAGACAAAGATAGAAATAAACTTTTAAAAGATAAAAAGGTATATAAGAAAAACAAGAAGGATTATAGCATCTCCTTTTTAACCAGATACAACAATAAAGCTCACCTTATAGAGAAAACTATGAAGAAATTTTGGCCCATTTTAAAACAAGATCAACTTTTAAAGGATATTTTACCAAGTAAACCCCAAATTATTTACAAAAAGACCCAGAATTTTAAATCTATTTTAGCTCCAAGCGCTCTACCCCGTGTCAAACCCACTAAAGAAGAAGCCACAACGGGCAATTTTCTTAAAGAAAAACCAAAAGGTTTTTTTAAATGTGGGCAGTGCAGTACATGCAAATTCCAAAAACAGAAAACAACAGAATTTACCTGCACTGCCACTAAAGAAGTTTTTAAAATAAAAAACTTTATAAATTGTCAGACAAAAAATGTAATTTATCTACTTGAATGTAAATGTGGCATACAATATGTGGGTCGTACAATAAGAAAACTCCACATTAGAATCTTGGAACACTTTAATGGGATAAAAAGAGGGAATATAAAACATAGTGTTCCCAAACATTGTATAAATTGCACCCATTTTAGTTTCCAGGATTTTAGATGTATAGGGATAGATACGATAATTCCACATTGGAGAGGGGGCGACACAGAAAAAGCGCTAGCCATGAAAGAAACAGAGTGGATCCATAGACTCAAAACCACTTTTCCAAGAGGATTAAATGTTGATTTAGATTTATTGGTGTTTATGGATTGATTCTTATAAATTATTTATAAGAGTTTTTAATTTTAATTTTAATTTTTTATAAATTAATTAATTTTTTATGAATTAATCTTTTATGAATCAATTTTTTTAAAAAAAATTTTTGTAAATAATTTGGTTTTTAGAAAGTCCTTTTCAGTAAGTGGTAGTTTTATCACTATATTATAATTTTTGTTTCCATAGAATTGGCATTAATTTGCACGATTTGTATTTTATTAATAATTACAATTTTTTATCAATAACTTTTTAATGAATTAACTTCCAATGAAATGATCTCTCATTTATTTATGAATGATTCTAATAGAACCTAATGATGTCTTCGCCAGGTCTCTCATCCGAATAAAATAAAATGATTATTAGTTATATATACAGTTTGTTATATGTAAATATCAGTTTTGTATAAAGTATTGTAACACTGTATAAAATGTAACATGATGTTTTTATTACATATATTTTTTATAATATGTTTCTCATAATATGTTTGTTTCTGTCTACAGTATGCTTAATTTCCCACTTCTAATAGTAGAACTCTATATGTGATGCACTTAAAATGCCTTTTACCTTTGCCTTTTAAAAGATGGTTCATCAGTATTTTATGTATGAAGATCAACTATGTATGATGAACAAAAGCTTGAAGTGCCCACATATTATTCCGTAAGACCAAGTGGTCCGGTACGGAAATGTGTTTTGTCGGCGCAAAGTATCAATAAAGTTGGTTTTGCGTTTCAAGCTGGATGTGTGAGCATGCGCGGTAAAGTTTTACCGTAATGCGCATGCGCGCAACACTGAAAGCCGCGCGAACCTGATCATTTAAAAAGCCGGAAGAAGAACAGAAACACACAGCTCTTGAAAAAGTCGATCGGACGAAACGCGTCGAGCAGCTACAAGTCGGCCAGTGTCCCTAGTATCTTTGGATCTCATCCACCTTCAAGCAGATTATTACTGGAGGCCATTGGAACTTTTGAAAATCGGGATCCTGCTACAAGAGGGGACTCTAGCCCAATTAAGGGCTGACAGGCTTTCTTAGCACAATTAGGACATATGTTCTTGTTGTGCAACTACATTTGTGAGTGCAATTATTTTTTATTATTTTTCTATTTGTTATTAAATACTTCACTATATATACTTTTATTTTTATCTCCTTATATGCATACCCATGAACATACCATGGTAAATATATTCACATGTTTGTGATTGTGGCGCCCCCGGTGGTATATGTTTTTTAAACTATACATATTTGCTTGTATTTTATTGGGATTGGGAGTGATCCCTATTTCGGGGTGATTAGCCTGCACTGTATTTAGCACTTTTCCCCACTTACTGCTCCTTCCTTATATGTGTGTGTGTGAATGTATGTATATGTGTGTGTGTGAATGTATGTATATGTGTGTGTGTGAATGTATGTATATGTGTGTGTGTGAATGTATGTATGTGTGTGTGTGTGTGAATGTATGTATGTGTGTGTGTGTGAATGTATGTATATGTGTGTGTGTGAATGTATGTATATGTGTGTGTGTGAATGTATGTATATGTGTGTGTGTGAATGTATGTATGTGTGTGTGTGTGTGAATGTATGTATGTGTGTGTGTGTGAATGTATGTATATGTGTGTGTGTGAATGTATGTATATGTGTGTGTGTGAATGTATGTATGTGTGTGTGTGAATGTATGTATGTGTGTGTGTGAATGTATGTATATGTGTGTGTGTGAATGTATGTATATGTGTGTGTGTGAATGTATGTATATGTGTGTGTGTGTGAATGTATGTATGTGTGTGTGTGTGTGTGAATGTATGTATATGTGTGTGTGTGTGTGAATGTATGTATATGTGTGTGTGTGTGTGAATGTATGTATATGTGTGTGTATATCTCTCCATCTTTTTGGTTTTCTGGTTCCAGGTACAGTACAAACGAAGGCGAGACGTGGAAGACTTTCCAGTTCTCCAAAGAGCAGTTGCTGGTTTACGGGTTACTCACTGAACCTGGCGAGAAGAGCACCATATTTACCATATTCGGTTCATACACGGGAACCGGGCACAGCTGGGTCATACTACAGGTCAATGCCAGCGATGTACTTGGTACGGCGAGTGTCCAGGGGTTCTGTGCCCGTCTTGGGGTGATATTTTATTTTTTTTGCCATTGAACACATTGCGCTGTGGTTATTTAGAGGACGTGTCCATCTCCTGTGTTGCACTGTTTGTAAAGCAAGTTAGAAAGATAGAGGAAGTCCACTCTGAAGACACTGGAAATGTATATGTAGGTAACTGAACTAACATTAAACAAGTCTAAGCAGATCTGTTAGGGGATGTTTTCAGTTTATGGGTTACTCCAGAGAGAAGTCTGGCGTTATGTCCTGATTGGTCTATTCTTTTTCTAGTTAAATGCATGCTGTGTAGATTTATGGCCATAACTATGGGTTCCCTATAATGTCTGTTTGTGTATGCACCCCTCTACATTTCGCTCACCCTCTGATCGTGGCCAGAAAGCTCGCCTATTGGAGGAGGGATTTGTGTTGGTTCTTGTTAATTTAATTCCCGCCATTCACAGTTCCTGTACATTACAAACACATTTGAAGGGCATCTCCGCTCTTCAAATAATTGAGGTTAGTTTTGATTAGAATGTGTAAATTGACTTTAATCTGGTGATTACATACCCTAATTATTATGATTTATAAAGTGCAGAATTGTACAGGTTTACACTCATACTTTCTCTGAATATCTCCAGGTATCCCATGCTCAGAAAACGACTATAAGCTATGGTCTCCATCTGACGAGCGCGGCAATGAATGCTTGCTGGGACGTAAAACTGTTTTTAAAAGGCGAACGCCTCATGCCACCTGCTTTAATGGGGAAGACTTTGATCGGCCAATTACCATCTCTAACTGTTCCTGCACCAGGGAAGATTTTGAATGGTATAGATCTGTTTCTGTTCTCTTCCCTCTACCTGTGATAAAGGCCCACAGGTTCTGGAACTTGTTTATTGATTTTAAATAAGGGAGATTCCATCTGCAGAGGGCCGGCCTACAAACCGTGTGCACTTTCTCCTTTAGTTGAATGATCATGTTTCATATGTTTTTATAACCATGTTAGATTTTCTCCCATTTGTAATGAAAAGGTTACCAAAAAAGCCTTAAATTCCAGTTTTATAACTTAAAATTGTTTTAAACAAAAAAATATTCCCAGTCCTTCAGGTAATACTTGGAATTTGGAAGGAAGTGGAGATATTTTTCACAAATAATTGCTGATATGGGAATTTGTGCTGTTACCCCATGACTCGTATTGTAGAGAGAATATCTCAGTAACTCTTTACTATCGGACACATTTCTTTATTCTTAAAGGAACACTATAGCGTTAGGAATACAAATGTGTATTCCTAACGCTATAGAGCCCTAGACACCTAAACGGTGACTAGGGCTCCGTTCCGAAGCAAATAAACGGTTAACAATTTATTTGCTTACCTTAATCCAGCGCCGGGCTCCCACAGCACTGGTGACCTCTCCTCCTCCATCGGTCAGCTCCCGGTTGGAACCGAATGTGCAGCCAGAGGAGGTCACGCATTCAAACCCGCAAATAGGAAAGCATTACTCAATGCTTTCTTATGGGGATCTTTTTTGACGTTGGAGGTCCGTGAGTGCGATTTACTCAGGAAGACCGCCACTAGAGGCTGGATTAACCCTGCAGTGTAAACATAGCAGTTTCTCTGACACTGTTTTCAGCTTCAGGGTTCAAACTAGGGGGACCTGACACCCAGAGAACTTCATGGAGCTGAAGTGGTCTGGGTGCTTATAGTGGTCCTTTAAACAATAAAGTCACTTTTGCTTAATGCGGCGCTGTTTTCATTTTGCAGTGCCTGCTCCCATATCAATTGTCACACAGCCGCTAGGGCCTTGGACTAAAATGGATTCAATAAAGAAATACTGGATGCTGTGTAAACATGCATTGTATAGACAGATTGCAGCTATGTATCGAAATCTAAAAAAAATAAAAAGTATGGGGGATCCGTAAATACAAATGGATAAAGAAACACACAGAAGTAGATGGAAATAATTCTTTACTCTGTGTCCTATTATTGCTGAAATTTCCTTAACGCCCAGATTAGATGAAGAAAAAAGTATATTTTGATATTTGGAATGTTCTGGGATTATTTGCATGCTATGTGTAATGTTAGACCGGCCAGTACTTGTATACCTGCATTTAATCCTTCTCCTCCCTCTTCTCCAGTGACTTTGGATTTAAGCCAAGTCGGGATTTGCTATCAGAAGTCTGTGTTCCTGACCCGGACTTCACCGGCAAACTATACCCAATCCCTGATCCTTGTCCTGTGGGGGCCACATATAAACGAACCAAAGGGTAATTATAGCAAACTTTGCTCTCTAACTTGTTCGCTCCGGGTATAAAAGACAGTGTCCTCCTTTTTGCCATGTCATCGCTGGGTAGTTCTTGTTTGGGGCAAGTGTTTCAGTGATGGCTCTTTACTCATGTTTTCTGGGTTGTCGAGCTTGGATTTAATGCACGTTTATCGTATTATTAATGCTGGGGCATTAAATAGTTTGTTTTGTTACAACCACTGGTTCTGCTTCCAGTTATCGCAGGGTTTCTGGAGACACGTGTTCTGGGGGTGATGTTCATAGTCGCCTGGAAGGAGTGGAAGTTGCTTGCCCTGTAGGAGGTAAAATTTCTAGATTAATTTATTTGAATTTACCAATATTACAAACTGATCATTCCCACACAATTCTTATTACTGACTCACTGGCTGTAAAGGGCCTGTTATAAGGTATGTGGAAGCAGCATGGCTATTCCTGGTAACGTTCAGACACGAGTCTTGAGTGCTGCACAGCCCACTTTCACAGGTGCAGATATGCTGCCATCTTCCCAAGATGCACTGGGCACACCTCTTTAACATTTAGCTATACTAACATGAATTCTCTGGGTTCCTTCAGATGTGCTGATGGCTTGCCTTATCCAAGGGATCTTGGGGATTTAAATAGTATACCAAATTGTCATGACCGCCTCAAATATAATGCTTCAAAGATTAAAGTCTCACTCTAGGTACCATAACCACTACATGAGCATTTAGATATTAGGGTGCAGGTTCTGTCTCCCGGACACACCATTCTCCTGAATGTCTAGTTTAGTAGTACCACTTTTATATTGGAAATATCAATTTCCTCCATATTTAAAATAATTTACTGGCCAAATGGGTCTGCTGACCTCTAAATCGGAGTGTAGTGGTTATAGTTGTAGAAATAAAAATAGGCAGGTATTAAGTGGATGCTTAGTGCTAATGTAGAATACTCTAACGTCTAGGTGGGGTCCCCTTTACCTTCACCAATAGTATAAAATATAAATAAGATATTATCTTACATGCACATAAGAGAACAATTCTTTCTATTAGATAAAACTCCTATAATAAAACATAAAAGACAAATAATGGTGCAATATCGTTTGAACTTGTGGGAAAAGTGTCAATATTTCCAATGAATTTACACTCGCAAGTAGGGAGCCAATAAGTATTAGGCTCAAATATTCAGCTTTGTGGGATATAGGGGGTCCCACTCCCTCCTCTGTATGTAAAGGATCCCCCTTTGATTGCAGTCACAGGCATGCAGTAAATGTAACAAAAGTGCTTTATTCATTAAAGTGCACAATGTATTATGAATAAAATAAATTAAAAAACCTTCCAGTCTGTACTGGTAAGTCCTTAAAATGTAGCAAAACGCGTTTCGCCTCTCTAAGAGGCTTCCTCAGTTTCTGGCTTTCTGTCCTATGAGTAGTGTTCCTTTTGAATCTGTTTCAGCTTTGTTTTTTCCGTCCTTTCTCTGTTACTTCCGGGTATCGTTTCTCTGTCACGCGGTTCCGGGTTTTGCGTTCCATCATTGGAACGCATGAAAAAAACGATTGCGGATTTCCTGTTACTCTCTAAGCTGAAACGCATCCTTGTGTTCCATATATCATCTCCCTCCGATTTGTAGGTTGTCTTTATTCCTGTGGTGCGCATACATGCGTTCCAAATATCCCATAATGTCTCTCAATGCAATAAAAAGGAGAATGGAAAATACATTAATAGTTTGAAGCTAAGAATATTAAAATTGTCAATTAAAAATACATTCATGCACATTATGGTGTGAATAGGTGACAGTTTAGTGATTCTGATCATAAAGATAGATGTGCAGACTGTGCAAGAAAATAAAATTATTATATATATATATATATATATATATATATATATATATATAAATATAATATATGCCTGCTATTTTACAAACATGTAAAGCTCTAACATACCAAGAAATAAGGTATATGAGACTATGGTGGTATATTGTGTATAAAGATTGCTTCTGAAAGTTCCTATACTGGTTAGGATGCATGGGATCCACTATTTAGTATGTCTCAGAAGGAGAAATATTTAATCATAAAGAAGTTTGGATAGAAGTTAGGGTAAATTCCCTATTTGGTATATTGTAGTATATGGGACACAATACGTTATTTATATAAAAACACATGATATTTAAAAAGGTATACATAAAATGCATACTGTATAAAGTACTTACCCATGATTATTAAAAACCATATGTGTTTAAGATGGTGTACAAAAAACGCCTACTGTATTAAGTACATGACCACGATTTTTAAAAGGGGCAAGTATCAATATATAAAAGGATGCAGGTAAAACCCTATTATTGGGCCTTTAAAACGATTATAATAAAAGTATATTAAGAAAACTGTTGGGTATGTCTTCATATAAAGATCAGAAGAACTAAAGATAAAAAATAAATATATACTACAGGTGGGGGAATGGAGGGAGTTCATTTAAAATGACAGACTTCAAAGTCAGAGTTAAGGCCGTGTGGAGATAATGTTTTAAAATTAAATATGAATTTCATTTCTTCTTTTCCTAATTTTTTTATGTAATCCCCTCCTCTCCAATCTTTTTTTTATAGCACAAAAGAAAAGGCCTTCTGGATTCTGATTGTGCTTGCTTGAAATGTAGCGGAACACTATGGGTTTCCATTCCATTTTTAATATTTCTAATGCGTTCCACTATTCTAGTTTTGAGGGGTCTAATCGTTCTCCCTACATATAATGGATCACACGGACATTTGAGAATATATAATGCCTTTCGTGTGGCAGGTCAGATGATCTGTTTATAGTGTAAATTCATTGGAAATATTGACACTTTTCCCACTAGTTCAAACGATATTGCACCATTATTTGTCTTTTATGTTTTATTATAGGAGTTTTATCTAATAGAAAGAATTGTTCTCATATGTGCATGTAAGATACTCTCTTATTTATATTAGTGGTTATAGTGACTAGACTGACTCTGTAATAACACCAAGTTTTAGTTGGTTGTCACCTTACGTAAAAATCAATAAATTGCAGCAAACAGAATATAGTAATATTTTTCTAATAAGTTCCGGAGACCCAGGCCGTGTGTTTCAGGCTGCCGAGCAAGCGATTAGAATCAGGAAATGACAGTTTGTACTTTACCACCTTACTGGGTTTCTTCGATCCAATGTACATTTCTTAATGCCGCTTAACTCTTACTCAGTCTTTGTGTGTTTACAGTGGAGAATGAGTTCATTTTATATGCTATGAGAAGCTCTATCTATCGCTACGATCTTTCCTCTGGCGTCAGTGAAGAGCTCCCCCTGAAGGGCCTGCGCAGTGCGGTGGCGCTGGACTTTGACTATCAGAGCAACTGTTTATTTTGGGCAGATGTCACGCTTGACCTCATTCAGGTAACGAGGCTTTAAAATACTTACCATGAGCTCTCCCCAAACCAGGTAATAACGACTATGCTTCCCAAAGCATTGCCAAGTGTTTCTCTGTAAGCAGTGTTTCATAGACACAGCAACGGTTTCTAGGAGATGTAGTTAAAGGACCATTAAAGTCACTCGGGTAATTTTATCTCAATAATAATTCTCAATGAAGTGATCTGGGTGCAGGGTCTTTTTACTTTTTACCCTGATACCTTGCAGTTGCGATGTGATGCGGAAGTCTCGATAGTAAGGCATCGATTCAGGCATGGATGGGTGTGGTGTACCAGGTCCCAAGTACTGTACTATAACGAACCTTGGTTTGGACCATTGTGGAGGTGATCAGTGCTGAGAGAATCTCCGTGCTGGAAAAAGATAATTCAATTGTTTTTATTTTATCACAAATGGAGGGAGAAACTCTATTTTACTAGGGATAGTGACACAAAAGCCAAAAGACACAAATACCAAATTATATTCCTAATGCTTTAGTGTTCCTTTCATTTGTAAACTTTCTGATGTACAAAGCTTGAACTCATATGTAGCAATACTTTTTATGCCTCTTTTGTTTATTTAAAAAAAAAAAAAACGGCAGAGTATAAAATGCTAACTGCAACCTAACCTACACAATGCACCTAACGTGTGTGGGAGCCTTGAGTGTCCCTTTAATAATATAAACCCACCCAGTATAACTGTAACCTAACCTACACAGTGCATCTAATGTGTGTGAGAGCCTGGAGTGTCCCTTTAATATAAACCCACCCAGTATAACTAACTGTAACCTAACCTACACACTGCATCTAACGTGTGTGGGAGCCTGGAGTGTCCCTTTAATAATATAAACCCACCCAGTATAACTAACTGTAACCTAACCTACACAGTGCACCTAACATGTGTGGGAGCCTGGAGTGTCCCTTTAATAATAAAAACTCACCCAGTATAACTTACTGTAACCTAACCTGCACAGTGCATCTAACGTGTGTGGGAACCTGGAGTGTCCCTTTAATAATATAAACCCACCCAGTATAACTAACTGTAACCTAACCTACACAGTGCACCTAACGTGTGTGGGAGCCTGGAGTGTCCCTTAAAGTTGCAGTAAGGAGACCTAAAAAGGATTTAAAAATAGTGAGTAATGAATTTCTGTAGAAGTAATGCATTTTGTTTTATTTATGATGTTTCTGTGAGTAATTATGTAATTATAATTTCCTGCTTTCTGATTATTTCTGTAGCGTCTCTGTTTGAATGGAAGCTCTGGACAGGAAGTTATTATCAGGAGTGGTTTGGAGACCGTGGAGTCCTTGACGTTTGATCCTCTAAGTCAATTAATCTATTGGGTTGATACGGGAACAAAGAAAATTGAGGTTTGTAACAGGGTTTTTGAATCTTCCTACCCCTCCTGGTATTTCTGCATTGAATATGGCCCTTTAGAATGTGGATATTTCTAGGTTGTGATGTTTGTGCACTGGCTATGCTTTGCTCTGTGCACACAGTGACTGAGGCATAGATTGGGTTTGTTTTGATTATTGTGAACTGATTTTAATGGACTTTTTCACCTGTACAAGGTGTTTGTCATTATAATGTTTATGTGAACGCCATATTTTTTAGAATATTAACCTGTGCTGTTCCTGCTGTTCTGTAGGTAGCCAACACAGATGGAGATTTGCGTCTTACGATCCTAAATTCTACGGTTCTAGATAAACCCAGGGCTTTGGCTTTGGTGCCTTCTGAAGGGTGAGTATAAGAAAGGATTCATCAAATGTTAAAAACCAACTCCTGGGTCTGAACGTCGAGCCATAGCTACGCTCAGGGTCCTTGAATACACGGGGCACGGTGTGTAATGCAGTCACTGGAGGTGTTACTGGCAGTACCTCTTCAACCTTTCTTTCTTCTCTGGATAAAGTAATGAGGAATGTTAAGTTGGGTAATATCTACTCCTAGGAATATCATAAAACGTACTGATAAAATGATTGTGATTATTGTACATATAAAACATGTGCAGTGATCTGGCCATTGAAGCATTACACGGTTCTTTTTATTGTATGTGCTTTCCTCATCGAGTTCTGCTTTGTGCTGTTATCAGTCCGGCTCCCATTGTCATATTTTCAGACAGGGATCGGTTCTGGATTATTCAAGGTATTACCAGAGATCCCTAGTGGATGAGTCTCTGTGTTACGGTCATGCGAGGTTCATGCATTAGGCTGTTTCCATGGTAACCGTGAAAATTAGTAATTTATTTCTCCTTATTGTAAAGCTGAGAAAATGGCCTTTAAATTTGTGTTTTGTACATTAGATCCAGTAAGATTCTGTGAGGCCCGGAATCTTCCTGGCTTTTATAACCTGCTCATTGTTTATGGACCCCTTTGGGTATGATGCTCACAGGAAGGATTTAGTGGGTGATTCCTGAGCACTCTGATTCCTTCCTGTACAGAGTTTATACAAAGGCTGGAAACCAGGTTTCCGGGGAGGAACTGTGGAATTTCACACTTTCGATTTTTAGTAAATTTGTCTTTAGCCGGGTTTACATCAGGTTAGAGTACATGAGCATGATTAACCAATGTATAATGCCTAAAGGGCATATTCCATATAAGACCTGGGCATTTGTTTTCTGAAGAATCACATTTAGGATTCAAATCTGTTCAAAGTTTCAGAATTTGGCTGATTGAGCTGATCATCCGAAGAACAGACTAATGTAAAAAATTCTTCCAGGTATTATTGGATCATTAGTGCATTCTAGTAAATTCATTAAACTGGTCTCGTATATGAGATTACTGTATTCAAGGGTGATTAAATAGTAATCGTGTTTGGTAGAATGCTCCCTAATCTGATATCCATAAATAACACTACCACAAAAGGGTAGCAAACCACGTTATTGCAGTACGCGGCACTGCTCTCAGATTGAAATTTAGCTCCATAAAAGATTGTGGATTCGATGATTACCTATATAAACTTTGCCACACACTATTATTATTATTTATATAGCGCCATCACATTCCGTAGCGCTGTACATTGGGTGGACTAACTGACATGTAATTTTAACCAGACAATTGGACGTACAGGAACAGAGAGGTGGAGGGCCCTACTCAATGAGCTTACATTCTAGAGGGAGTGGGGAATAGTGACACAAAGGGTAAAAGTAGGGGTACAAAGTAGGTTTAGAAAAGTATTCATTGAGGGCTTAGGTCATTTTTGACAGTTGCAGGAGAGGAGCCCCGTGACTGGGGGATAAAAACCTGCTTACAGTTTAACTAATATGCTTTCTTGAAGTGAGTTTTCAATGTTTTTTTGAATGAGTGTAGACTGGGTGAAAGTCTTATGCAGAAGGGAAGGGCGTTTCACAGAAGAGGTGCAGCCCTGGAGAAATCTTGGAAGCGAGCGTTAGAGGTGGGAGTACGGACAGAGGATAGACGTAGGTCTTTGGCAGAGCGTAGGGGCCTTGACGGGACATACTTGTGTATTAGGGAGGATAGGTAGGTTGGAGCAGCATTATGTAGGGACTTGTAAACAAGCACCAGAATGTTAAATTGAGCCCTATATTTAACTGGAAGCCAGTGCAGGGTCTGACAGAGCAGGGAGGTGTGGGAGGTGTGAGCGGACAGGAAAATGAGCCTCGCCACTGCAGTCATTATAGATTGCAGTGGTGCAATCTGGGAAAACGTAAGACCACTGAGAAGGGTATTGCAGAAGTCAAGGCGAGAGAGAACAAGAGCATGGACCAGCACCTTAGCCGCATCTGGGGTTAAATAGGGGCGAATGTGCGCTATGTTTTTGAGATGGAAGTGACAGGATTTGGGGATTGATTGGATATGAGGGGTGAAGGAGAGGTTGGAGTCAAAAAGAACACCCAGGTAGCGAGCATGTGAGGTAGAGGTGATGGTAGCGCCGTTGACTTGGAGGGAGACACACAGGAGTAGTAACACTTGAGGGAGGAAAGACCAGAAGTTCTGTTTTGGACAGGTTGAGTTTAAGGAACTGAGCAGCCATCAAGTTGGAGATTGAAGAGAGGCAGTCAGAGACACGAGTCAAGATGGGTGGAGAGAGATCAGGAGAGGACAGGTAGATTTGCGTGTCATCCGCATAGAAATGATAACGGAAGCCAAAGGAGCTGATCAGTTTACCAAGGGAGGCAGTATAGATAGAGAACAGTAGGGGGCCGAGGACAGAACCTGGGGGGGGACAGAGAGTGGTTGGGGGGAAGAGACAGTCAGAGAAAGAAACACTGAAAGAGTGCTGGGAGAGGTAGGAGGAGCACCAGGAGAGAGCAGTATCCCGTAGACCAAAATTACGGAGAATGCAAAGAAGCTGTTGATGATCAGCAGAAAGATCAAGGAGAATTAGGATAGAGTAATGGCCGCAAGATTTAACAGCGATTTAAATCGTTGGATACTTTGGTCACAGCTGTTTCGACAGAATGACCAGCGCGGAATCCAGACTGAAGGGGGTCAAGCAGAGAGTTGGATTCGAGAAAGCCAGTCAGTCTGATGTACACAACTCTCTCTCGAGGATCTTGGAGGCAAATGGCAATAGCGAGAGAGGACGGTAGTTGGATGGGGAGTTGGGGTCAAGGCTGGGCTTTTTACAGAATTGGGGTTACAGTTGCATGTTTGAAGGGAGAGGGAAATGTGCCAGAGAAAAGGGAGAGATTGAAGAGTTTAGTGAGAGGAAGAGCCAGAGAGGGAGACAAAGTGCGGATGAGATGCGAGGGAATAGGATCGAGTGAACAGGTGGTGGGGCTGGAGGACCGGAGCAGAGCACAAACCTCTTCTGCTGTAGCAGTTGCGAATGAGTGTAGAATGGTGGAGGGAGTGGGGTTGGGTGATGTATTGGTAGGGGAAGGAGAGAGATTAGCGATCTCTTCTCTGATTGTAGAGATCCACACATTGACACAAGCACACTGAATGTTTACTAAACACCATGCTCTAGAAATCTGATCACCTGGGAGGTCCCAGCATTGGAAACCCAATTCCTCAGAATACATTGTAACATGCTACGCTCTATTTGTATATCTACATGAGTTATACGCATATCTGTGTTGTATTATTGCCATCACAAAGTTCCTAATTTTAACAAATACTACTCTGCATAGGCAACCATATGCTATTTACAAGAATTGCAAACTGTTTCCTTTCACATTACAATCAAAAGGGTAGCAAATTAGGAAGCCTTCTATTAAATGGATCAGTCCTTTGGTACCCTAACATATGGCAATCCCATCTTCGGGGACCAATTTTATTTAGGGAGCTATCCACGAAGCTGAAATATAAAATTTAGGAAAAGGTTTTTAATCTTCCTGTTTAGTAGATGGCTCCCTAATTTGGAAGCCAAAACTGGGAGCTATGTACTGAACACCATTCACGCTCTAATTTGGTAACCTTAAATCTGGAAAGTCCACACAAGGGAACCAAATTGGGCTCTTCTAACCACTGAAAGATTTGCCGGTGATTGGGATTTCCATTCAGTCTAAAGGAATGCTGCAAACTGGAAACATTGGACAAATTTCAGCAGAGTAGAATAGACTAATGGACAAAATCATTTTAATCTGAACTTATTTAGAGGAACCAAAATTTTCAGCAGAGTACAAATCTACACTGTATCTCTTGTACTGTGAGAGAAGTATAGAAATAATGAAGAAATTGAGATCTATATTTATTGACCGTCTCTAAACAGCTTTACATATAACAGCACATTCTGGGCTTCTCGGCTTTGAAGGCTGTTAGAATGTATAACTGGGTCTAATGCCAGTCTTTGCAATGTGTGCCCTGCCTGTGCCTTTTCTGAACTGTATTGTAATGTAATTTGCCAAATCTCTAATATAAATTTAAAAGAAATGCAGCATGTTGAAACCAATGTTAACACAGTTACATTGTATTCAGTGGTGTGATATCCAGAGAAGTAACCGTTCCCATTTTGTACTCTGAACATACTGACCTATCTAGGTTGAATGTTAAGCTGTTGCTGTGGATTTTGTTAAACTGTTCTTGTGTTATTAGCCTGATGTTTTGGACAGACTGGGGAGATGAACGACATGGGATTTACAGAAGTGAGATGGATGGATCTGGCGTGACTCATCTGGTCTCAGAAGGCATTAAGTGGCCCAATGGTATTACTGTGGACGAACAATGGATTTACTGGACAGAGTCTTACATGGATCGAATTGAAAGGATTGATTTTAATGGACAGCGTCGGCTGGTCGTACTGGAAAATCTACCGCATCCATATGCCATCGCTGTGTTTAAGGTAAAGGATTTTAATGAGACTGCAGAAATAAGCCAGGCCTTGAAATTTTCATCTGTATTTTATTTATCAACCTGTTAAATGGAAAACACCTAAAGTGTCATATCTGACTGTACTCCTTAAGAAATCACTTATTTCCTGTACCCAGTTGAGGCTCCAGATTTGCAGCAAACAATGGACTCTTATGGCTGTGTATAATTTCTGTTCATTTTGCTTTCTGAAGCAGCAACGCCATAAATTTAAATTCAATTCTAGTCTTTGTTAATGTCCTTACTAAATAAATCTACCTTTGCTTTGCTAGCATTTTGTAAATTCTGTTTCAGAATGAAATCTATTGGGATGACTGGTCACAGCTAAGTATTTTCCGAGCTTCAAAATACAATGGCGCAAAGATGGAGGTTGTGATTGGACGCCTATCTGGAGTCATGGATATGAAAATTTTCTACAGAGGAAAATCGGCAGGTAACACATAGGATTTGATTGCACTTTTTATTACCAAATATTCTGTCATTTCATTATCAGAATTCAAGTAGTTTATTCAGGGTTGTATTTCCCAAAAGCATGTTGCACAGAACTGGGGGATACTGAGAAGGAAATTTAGAACCCCACGAATATCTTGCCTACTGTCTGTTTCAGTCTTGCACCACCCCTAATGTTGTCTCTTTTTTGGATGGAGTCTGGAAGTGACAGTGGTACTTGGAATGTTTCAGATGGAAATATAAGAGTTTATTTTAACTCTGGCATCTGAATACTTTATTTGTAAAATAAGTTGAGTATCTTGAATGTGGTGTGATGTCTAAAGTGCTGGATGACTGGCGTCTATTCTGATATAGTTTTAATCTTGGAATCCCCATCACTGCTCGTAATTTACAAACATTTTGTTTCTGGGATGACCTCTAAATATACCTGAGTTAATATATACAGATGGTTAAGATTCTTCAGCCATATTGGATATCTGTTCTTACTCTAAACAGGGCACAACGCCTGTGTTTTAAAGCCCTGCAGCCTCTTCTGCCTTGCAAAAGCCAACAATAGCTGGTCCTGCAGGTGTCCAGAGGGAGTGAGGGAATCTCAACTGCCGTCTGGGGAGACCCAGTGTGAGTGTCCACAGGGTTACCAACTGAAGAACCAGACCTGCACGAAGCAAGGTAATTAATAAAATACTGAGTAGCTTGTGCTCTCTGACAGATCCAACAATTTGAAAAATACTTAATGTCATTCTGTTGTAGCAGTTTCCGGCACCCATAGCTTTACAGCGAGTTATCGCTTGTATTCAGTCATTAACTTATTTTTATTAGGTACATGGACTTATGGATGTCTGAGAGTCGGGGGAGATGAGACAAATCACCTTACTATCCATTGCGCTGAATATGGGTTATACTCATAGAAGAATTTAACCGCCATTTTTCTGAAATCCACTCTCCAAAGCGGAAACGATTTCTGAATCTAAACCTAGGGCGCAGGGGAGATGGTTATAGTCAATGTATTCCAGCTCATAACTGACATGTGATATGCAGGACAGGGAAATATTTTTAATTCTGTTTAGCTACGCCAATATGGTCACCTTATAGGTGTGGGTGGAATTCTACTCGGAATGATTTGCCAAATCTCAAAATGGGTTCTGTCAGACAGAAAATGTTAAAACTAGTACGAATTTTTCATCAAAATTGTAACATGTTTAACAAATCGTGTAGTTAAAATATTATGCAAATAAAGCAATATTTAAAATTAAATTCACAGAAAGCTTTTGACCTAGAGAGTGTCTGTCGATGCACTGCTTCATGGGTCTCTTCGCAGATTCTGATCTATGGGTTTGGTCCTGTCCTATTATCCCCTGCATAGCTAAGGCTTCTGGGATAAGTAGTTTATCCTCACCTGCAGTTTTGTGGGTGTTGCCAATTTTTATTTCACTGTTGGCTGAACTGCGGAACATGCATGCGCAATCTGTGACTTCCCTATTGAGTGTGGTGTGCACATGTGGCACGCACAGTGCAGAGAAAATTGGTAAGAGACAACATGGAACTAAGTGTTCTAGGCTACCTTATCACTGTGTGAATGAGTTTGGTGTGCACGGTGTCCCTTAAGATCCTGCCATAATTCATTTGTTTACAGCACTAAACAGATTATTGGCAATATTGGATTATATGGGGGAATCAGAAGGGAAAAAACCCCAGAATATTTTGAATTATTATTCCTAAGTGAATCCTGTTTTCACCCGCTCTCAGATAAAACATGCCTGCCAACTCAGTACAGGTGCAGCAATGGGAACTGTATAAGTGGTATTTGGCGATGTGACAGCGACAATGACTGCGGGGATATGAGCGACGAGAAAAATTGCCGTGAGTAATACTTAGATTGTTATTGGTAAATGAACTTTAAAAAGTATATATTTTATTCTGTTCTGATTGGTTGTGGTAGAATGTGTTATATTGGTTGCGAATAGGATGCGCACAATGTCGGGTGGGGCAGTAGACACGCAATGTCGGCTGGGAGGGAGGGGGGGCCAGGAGGCGTGCAATGTCTTCCTGAGTATTAACATAATATTAGGGGTGGGTTAATATACAGGTGATACTCAAAAAATTAGAATACTGTGCAAAAGTTCATTTATTTCGGTTCAAGCCGTGATTTGTCAAGTGCGATGATTATGGCTTACAGCTCATGAAAACCCCAAATCCACAATCTCTGTAAATTAGAATATTGTAAGAAAGGTACAATATTCAAGGCTCACACTGTCCCATTCTAATCCGCTAAGTAAGCCATAACACCTGCAGAGGGTTTCTGAGACTTTAAATGGTCTCTGTCTGGTTCAGTAGGAATCACAATCATGGGGAAGACTGCTGACCTGACAGTTGTGCAGAAAACCACCATTACACCCTCCATAAGGAGGGAAAGCCTCAAAAGGTAATTGCGAAGGAAGTTGGATGTTCCCAAAGTGCTCTATCAAAGCACATTAAAGGACCACTATAGTGCCAGGAACCCATACTCGTTTTACTGGCACTATAGTGCCCTGAGGGTGCCCCCTCCCGATGGGCTGGATGGAGAGGAAGGGGTTAAACTTACCTCTTTTTCCAGCCCGGATGGGGAGCTCTCATCCCTCTTCTCCTCCTCTTCGGCTGCATGCGTGGCAAGAGCCACACGCCCATTCAACCAGTCCATAGGAAAGCATTTACAATGCTTTCCAATGGACGCTGGCGTCGTCTTACTGTGAAAATCACAGTGAGAAGCGCCTCTAGCGGCTGTCAATGAGACAGCCACTAGAGGCTGGATTAACCCTGCTATAAACATAGCAGTTTCTCTGAAACTGCTATGTTTATTTAAAAAAAAAAAAAGGGTTAACCCTAGCTGGACCTGGACCACAGGCTGATAGCTTCCATGCCACGCCGCATTGAGGCAGTAATTGCTGCAAAAGGGGCCGAAACCAAGTACTGAGTACATATGCATGCTTATACTTTTCAGAGGTCCGATATTGTTCTATGTACACTCCTTGTTTTATTGATTGCATGTAATAGTCTAATTTACTAAGATTGTGGATTTGGGGTTTTCATGAGCTGTAAGCCGTAATCATCGCACTTATGACAAATCACGACTTGAACTATCTTGCTTTTCCTATAATGCGTCTATTTCATATATTATTTTCCCCTTTTACGTTGCATTACTGAAATAAATGAACTTTTGCACGATATTCTAATTTTTCGAGTATCACCTGTACGTTGTATGTGAGAATGTAACACTATAAAGCTGTGAGGCCCACGCTGTGGCTGATATTTACGATTTGTTTATCGTGCAGTATTCCGGCATCGTTACAGAGAATCAAAGTCCTCGTTCACAGAGCTAACTATCTTTCACATATATACTTCTTTTATTGTTTAACAGCGACTACCACCTGTGACCCCGAAACTCTATTCAGATGCCAGGGATCAGGAGCCTGCATCCCGCTCTCATACAAATGTGACCTGGAAGATGACTGCGGGGATAACAGCGATGAGATTCACTGCGGTGAGATGCCTTACATCTTATAGAATGCGAGAGGACAAATATTCTTTTTATAGAATGTGGGGGGGGGAGGTCGGATTTCCTTTTTATAGAATGTGGGGAGAGGGGAGGGCGGATTTCATTTTTATAGAATGTTGGTAGGGCGGATTTCATTTTTATAGAATGGGGGGGGGGGGTTTATATATAGAATGTTGGGGAAAGGTTTACTATTATAGGATACGAGACAAACATTTTGCCATAAATCTCCCCCAAACACATGTAGAACAGGGTGACTCTTTCTCTCATCTACAGAAGCTCACCAGTGTAAAGACGATGAATTTAACTGCACCTCTGGCATGTGCATTCGCCAGTCGTGGGTCTGTGATGGCGACAATGATTGCAGGGATTGGTCTGATGAAGCCAACTGTACAGGTACACAAATCCTAAAAAAACACACAGGGTTTTTCACAAAGTGAGAATTCAAAGTGAATTTCAAATTTCAGGTCAGAATTGCTGAAAAGAAGTCTAAGTCTGCTATGCTTCTAATTTGCCTACTTTTTTTCTGAAATTTATTTAGAATTTTAACTTTGTGAATAACCCTGAGTTATTCGCAAAATACACTAAATACAGATACAATAAAATAAGTTCACTGGAGTTCAGGGTCCCAGCCACAACCCTTTCTGCAAAATCTAAACCTTGTATTTGGGACAAAATCTCCCACTACTGTCACTCCATTCGCTCAAAAATATAATTCCTATAAATCTAGGTAAATTTATTTTCTAAAAGGGAAACACTACCTTTCTTTTATTATATTTGAAAAATCAAGACTAAAATAAAACGATTCTTGTCTCTCATCAGAAGTGTCTTAAAAATAATAAACTTAGCATTTTTTTTTTGTCTTTACCCAGCGATCTCTCATACATGTGAAGCTTCAAGCTTTCAGTGTCATGACAGTCACTGCATCCCACAAAGATGGAAATGTGACGGGGATATGGACTGCCAGGATGGCTCGGATGAAGACGTAATTCTGTGCGGTAAGTTATCTGCATACCTGGCTCTGGTGACCAGGTACTACCAAGCTTAATCTCCTTCATTTAGTAAATGCCCAGTCATAGCCCATTTTTTTTCTGATCCATTACTGTGAAAGAATACCCCTATCACTTTTGGCTCCTTTTCGTTGTCTGGATTCATGCCATAGTTTATTTTGTTTATTTTGTTCGGTTCAAGAATTGAGGCCACACCAGAGACCCATTAGAACATGGAACGTTAAGTACAACGTACGAAAACCACTTCGTAACGAACTAATTGAATGCTTGCCTGGGTGGCCGCTATTTCGTGCGTGCAAAGGCACGTGTTCAGGACAATGGATGGTGGCCATCTTGTCTCCTGAGTGCAGGCAGTTGAAATTGGTCATTGAGTGTCTGGAACTCATTTCTTCCAGGCACTCCCGCGAACCCCGGTCATCATGGACCTGCTGCCCGTTAATGTTCCCCTTTACCTATACGAACGGCTTTCGGGAGATCTATGCTACCGAACACAGGGAGCATTCTCTATTGATCTGCTTTATCTAATTGGTGTGGTTTTCGTACAAAACCCCACGAAAGGAGACTGGCTCTTGCCACAACTTGCCTGGAACTATTTTGGGCTGCAGCCTCGTGGCAGACCGGTCAGAACTTCTGTGCGATGGGGATCCAAACTGGGGTGATTTTTTTTTATATTTTGTTCACCCCGATTCCAGATATCTGGGGATGTGACATTTATTTGGTTTCCATGTATGTTGGGGGTACTTTTGGAGTGTTCAGAAATTGATACTTTTCTGCCCATGGAGATAATTGAGTTGGTACAGTTCCTGACTCAATTATCTCTCAGGCACAGTGGAGGCATTTACGGACTGTATAAATTTGTTGCCTGTTTCTCCATTAAACAGTCTTCTCCCATGTGTGGGGGGTTATGGAATATTGGTGCTATTTTACCTTGTGTATTATTTTGGTTTCCTGTATTAGGGGGGAAAGGGTATCCGTGGCGGTGATACCTTGACAGACCGCCACAATTACTTTGGCCTAAAAGTAACCACTGTAATAAATGCAATATCAAACATCCTATTACCATTATAACCACCTGCATGTGTCCCTAAAATGATCCGACTTCAGTCCAAACTGAAAACAAAATGTATTTTAACAACAAAACAGAGCATGCAGCCAATAACCAAATCGACACATTTCATTGAAAGGAGAAAGAAACCTTTATCTCTCACACTTTATCTTGTGGGGGGTTTTTTTGCAGGTCACACGTGTAAAGGATTTCAGTGCAATAATGGAACGTGCATCCCATCCAGCCAGCACTGTGATGGTACAATCCAGTGTCCAGGTGGCGAAGATGAGCGGCAGTGTGGTGAGAAGGAATGCTAAATAGACATTATTCCAAGAGTTTATTGTAACTGTCGATGGGCAAACCCTATCCCAATATGAACAACCCTTCATGGCAGAAGACTTACCAAGAATATCCTTATATAACCTAAAACTCATCAAGGTTTAAAGGGATCCTGTCACACAACACATGAAATTTCCACTTTAATCAAATAATTTAATTTGTACATTGTGGCAGCAAAAAGGTCGTCGGATATGACTAATATTTAGAAATTAGAATTAAAGGGATACTTTAGACACCAAAACAACTTTAGCTTAATGAAGCAGTCTCGGTGTATAGATCTTGCCCCTGCAGTCTCACTGCTCAATTCTCTGCCATTTAGAAATTAAAGTTGTTTTGGTGCCTGTTGTGTTCCTTTAAGGGTAGGGTTTGGGATTTGGGTGAAAGTAACAATGAGCAGCATATTTAGACCTAGCAGTTGCCTTAAAATCTCTAAACTGTACTAAATTTAATATCCAATCATTAACCTTAATCCTAATCCTAAACGTGAAAAAATAGTCTGAAACATTGCAGGTTGTGTTCTTTTATTATCATTTTGCTTTATTTTTTTATATCCTATACAGAGACAATATTGTCAGTTTCCATTTGTTTCTGTTTCTGCAGAGCCGTTGTGTACTCGTTACATGGACTTTGTGTGCAGGAACCGGCTGCAATGTTTGTATCACTCTATGGTCTGTGATGGCATTGTGCAGTGTCGCGATGGATCGGATGAGGATCCTCGCTATGCTGGCTGCGGTGAGTGGCTTGGGAAGCTGAGAGTGATTCGATATTTTATAGGTCCTATACTTATTTCCAAAGGAAACACCCCCTGCGTCAGAATAAAATCACTTTCAGTCCAGCTTGTTCTAGATGTAAAACCTCTGACTTTTCTTTAATTCCAGCTCAGGAAGCAGAGTTTCAGCGAACATGTGACTCTTTCAGCTTTTTATGCCAAAATGGAGTTTGCATCAGTTTAGTTTGGAAATGTGACGGAATGGACGATTGTGGAGATTATTCAGACGAGGCAAACTGTGGTGAGCTTATGAACGGTTTAGATTTATTTTTATTTTAATATTTTCTCCAGTGTAATCTGTAGAGAAATGTTAGCATTATCCTCATGTACGTGGAACAGATTATTGGATTTGTTTATACTTCACCTTCTGTAGACTAGAAGTACTTATTGTTATTGGTGAAACTGAGGGATTTCTGGGATAGAACGTTGGCCGCGATGTATGATAAAATGGATTTTATAGTTCTAGTATTCTAGTACAGGAAAACAGGTTTTTGTCTGGGATGGCATTAACGTTGACACCATGACATACATACATGTCACTGTCTAAAAGTAGAATCCAAGTTCAGTTGGGAACCTCCCTTCAGCCCAGATTGGGGTGAGAAAGGCAGGTATCCCTCCTAGAACCCTGAAGTAAAAAAAAACGAAAAATGTCATGTCACATTCGCTCTAGCTGTTTGTTTTCTTGAACATATAACCAGGGACAGCGCAACCTTTAAGCGATCTAGGCATTGGCCTAGGGTGCCGACCGGTATTTTCCTGGTGGACTCCCCCTGTCCTGGGCCGCAGCGCTGGGCGAGTTGCTCTAGAGCCGTCCTCCCCCTCAGCGCCGAGCCCATCCTCCAGGCACCCGAAAATGGGGGTGCCGAGAGGAGACCTGTCAAAGGGGGCTCAGGAGGTGGCCATTTGCCCACCTCAGTGCGCCCCCGAAGCTGTCTGTCAGTATGGCAGAGCAGGCACCTGCCTACCCAGATGGCAGGTGCCTGCTCTGCCGATAAATGCCGGAGGAGAGGAGGCAGGCGACGGCAAGGGAGGCTCTTCTTACAGCTCTTTACTTCTCCTTTGCGCGCCTACTGTGATCCCGGGAGCCGGAATATGTCATCATTCCAGCCCCAGCATACTAAACAGCACACTGGAGGTGTGATGAGCTGCCCCACACTGGACCCCAGGGAGGTAGGGAGGCTGGATGTCTGTATGTGTGTGTGTGTGTCTGTCAGTGTGTGTGTGTGTGTGTCTGTCAGTGTGTGTGTGTGTGTGTCTGTCAGTGTGTGTGTGTGTCTGTCAGTGTGTGTGTGTGTGTGTCTGTCAGTGTGTGTGTGTGTCTGTCAGTGTGTGTGTGTGTGTCTGTCAGTGTGTGTGTGTGTCTGTCAGTGTGTGTGTGTGTCTGTCAGTGTGTGTGTGTCTGTCAGTGTGTGTGTGTGTCTGTCAGTGTGTGTGTGTCTGTCAGTGTGTCTGTCTGTCAGTGTGTCTGTCTGTCAGAGTGTGTCTGTCAGGAGTGTGTGTCTGTGAGTGTGTGTGTGTGTGTCTGTCGGTGTGTGTCTGTCGGTGTGTGTCTGTCGGTGTGTGTCTGTCGGTGTGTGTGTCTGTCGGTGTGTGTGTGTCTGTCGGTGTGTGTGTGTCTGTCGGTGTGTGTGTGTCTGTCGGTGTGTGTGTCTGTCTGTGTCTCTGAGTGTGTGTGTGTGTGTGTGTCTGTGAGTTACTGACATGAGGGTACGGCAAAATGGATCTTTGACTAAGACGGCAGAAATCTTTGTACCGGCCCTGCATATAACAGTGACAAGTAAAAAGAACGCAATTGTTTAACAGTGAATTGCAAACCTGTGAAGGGAATCCTCTTCTTAATGGACTGAGATCTGAGAATAGAATTCCAATCCAGGTAACTTCATGTTTTGTTTATTTTATTAGAAAATCCAACAGACACCCCAACGTGCTCCCGCCATTACCAGTTTCAGTGTGAAAACGGCCACTGCATCCCGGCACGCTGGAAATGCGATCGTGAGAATGATTGTGGCGACTGGTCAGACGAGAAGGATTGTGAAGGTAATGTGTATATGGTAATATTGCCATTGCTTTGTGATGTTCCGGCTGGAGTTTTATCAGAAAAATGCATGACACTAGCCAATAAACTAGTCTGCGTTGTGTTAATCTTTTTCAGTTGATTAGGTTTTTCAGAAGCTTTTCATAAATATTTTTGCTTGCTAACACTCGCGGTGTTATCATTTTGGTTTCTCCTCTGACCCTCCTCCTATTCACCAGTTATTATTTTATGAAACAAAGAGTTAACATCAGGGGGAGGCCAGGTGCATTCTAGGACATATCCACAGGAGACCCTAATCTGATTGAAAGCTTATTAAAAAGTGTTTTAAAGCCGTTGCGCAATTTTCTCATAGCAACGGAAACTGAAATTGTTCCACTATATTATCTGATTTTCCACTAATACGTTCACGTGAGCACAGAGATAAAACCGTTTAATATGCTGATTTGGCTTGCTATCTATAGAGTACCCAGAAACTGCCATGTAGACTCACCAGCTCTCCGATAGGATTTCTTTTTTGAAGAGACTCCAATTCAGACAGAGCTCAGTCACACCAAAGACGGTGAGGAAGAAGTACGTGAGTGGTGCTGACAGACTATAGGGGAACAGCCGTTTAAATCTGGCTGTGTTAGTGCAATGTGACCCACAACACCGTTACCTCTCCTCTAAGAATTCAATAAAAGCGTTGGCACTGTTTACACTGGGTACAGAGTACCTGTGCCGGGCAGCACAATGCCACTTGTCTTTGTCAGGGATTCTTTTTTGTTTCTATCTGTCCAGCAAATACTAGAACATGGTCAATTTTAGTGATCACAGTGTAATGTCACTGCTCTCTGGTACCCATAGGTTTAATGATCTCCTAATTATACTCTCAAAAATGAAATTGGATTAAGTGAGGAGACCACTCCCATGTCGGCCAGTATCTGGGCTTGTTATTGTTTTCTTCTAAGATTTAACTTGAATTTTTATTTTTATTTTTTGCAGAACCAGTTCCTCAAACTACCACAGCACCCCCTACCTGCCCTTCCAATCAGTTCCGCTGTGACAATGGCGTGTGCATCATGAACACCTGGGTGTGCGACGGCTACAAAGACTGTATCTCTGGCTCTGACGAGGAAGGATGCCCCTCAATGTGTGAGTTCACTTACTGCCGAACTTAACAGCTTTCAATTTAGATCTATCATATAAATTATTTCTCATTTAGCTCTCCTTTCAGCGTGTCTAAACTGGATTAATTTATTTTAGAGTTTTGGGACTCTGCCTCTTTAAAGGAACATTATAGGGTCAGAAACGCACATGTATTCCTGACACTGTAGTGTTACAGCCACCGTTTTCTCTTAAAACCCAAAAGGCCTGCATGGACTGATTATACTCACCAGAACAAATACAACAAGCTGTATGCCGTACACCGTACATTAAGCTGTAGTTGTTCTGGGGACTATAGTGTCTCTAACCATTTGTAGCGTTTATGGTATACAATGTGTGTGTTTTACCTTCTCAATTAAATTGTAGGAACATTTAATGCAGCTTTTATTCTCCAATATAAAGAAAAGGCTAGTTTTGCCATGTTTCTGTGAAAATGTTGGTTATACCTTGGCTCCATCCCATCTGATGTACACATGTTGATTTCTGGATCTATAGAATTGTAAGGCACGTGAGATAAAGACTTGTTGGGTCCTGTGCTCACGGCACAGTGAATATCCAGAAGGATATTGATACTTTAGAGAGAGTTCTGAGAAGGGCTACTAAACTGGTTCATGGATTTCAGGATAAAACTTACACGGAAAGGTTAAAGGATCGTAACATGTATAGCCTGGAGGAAAGACGAGACAGGGGGGATATGATAGAAACATTTAAATACATAAAGGGAATCAACACAGTAAAAGGAGGAGACTATATTTAAAATAAAAACTACCACAACAAGAGGACATAATCTTAAATTAGAGGGACAAAGGTTTAAAAATATCAGGAAGTATTACTTTACTGAGAGGGTAGTGGATGCATGGAATAGCCTTCCAGCTGAAGTGGTAGAGGTTAACACAGTAAAGGGGTTTAAGCATGCGTGGGATAGACATAAGGGTATCCTAACTATAAGATAAGGCCAGGGACTAATGAAAGCATTTTAAGAAATTGGGAAGACTACATGGGCCGAATGGTTCTAATCTGCTGTCACATTCCATGTTTCTAATTGACAGCAGAGACAGATTTAGTTGCTTCATTTTAGCCATTTTCTGGTCTCTTGAGAAGCTACTGCTAAACCAGGGTTAATTTCCATAAAGAAGAAAAATATTTTATTTGCAACATGTGCACCACTCAGCCATGTCTTGGTAAAGTAAGATACTGTCAATTTTATTTACTAAAGGATGAATTGTTGGAAGTCACTGTAAATTCCCCAAAATTCACATTTTCATGAATGACCCTACCCATGGGCGTAGGAACCAGGGGGATGGGGGGGGGGGAACGCATCCCCCCCCAGCAAATCATGTGGGGGGGACAGGTTATGGGGAAATCCCCCCCCGTCCCAGCTCAGCCGCCCGAGCGCTCTGTAGAGAGCCTCAGGCGGCTGTAGCTTTGCCCGGGCGGTGCGTCCATGAGGGCGGACCGCACCGCCCGGGCACAGCCTGAGGAGAGGGGCTGACAGGAGGGAAGCGCTCAGCACTCCCTCCTGTCACTCCCTCACTGTAGCGTGACCGAGACCTCTATTGGTCTGCGGGTACAGGGAGCATCTGTCTCCTGTACCCGGCCGGACTAACAGGAAGTGCACACTGAGTACAGGAAACAAAAGCTACCTGTACCCGCGGACTATACTGGGCTCGGCCACGCTACCACTGAGGTAGGGGGGGAGGGGAGAAAGAGAGTAACAAGGGAGGGAGGGGGAGAAAGAGAGTAACGAGGGAGGGAGATTGACATCCATCACACAGAAACACACCTTGCAGCCCTTACACATACAAACACAGATTCACACAATGCATTCCTTACACACATATCTGGACATCCCCTACACACTCCACCCCCTGTGAACAAACTCATTGGTGGAACATGAAGGTGGACCCTGGGACCCAGACCTTGAGCTGTGTAAAGGGTCCCCAAAAAATGGAGCTGCTTCCCGTTCTCCCAGAACATTGATTTTTGTGACCACAGTTACAAACAGCCTCCAGAGAGCCTGTTCTACACCAGACCAGTGGAGCCAGACTGCAGCTAGAGCCCATCATCATCCTCATCTGGTTGTAAGTAGGCAATCTAGCATATTATTCGTGGCACTAATCTCTAATTTACATGGAAAGGGGTTCTAATATAAATGGAAGGGGTAGAGACGGGTAGTAAAATGTATGGAATGCATTTCTGAAAGTGTCACTGAATGGCAGTTAGGAAATGTGGTCACCCTAAGTCAGGGGCAGTATTACACAATCTGTATATGTATAAAAAAATATAAAAAGTAATCTGCAGAGCTTCCGAGCAGGATAGTCGCACAGCACTACTGCTCCGTGCACCGAGCCGAAAAACGCTGCCCAGAGACGATAAACACCGGCTCACCGGCGCAATAAAGACAGAGCACGGATTCCCTGTATCATGGGGAAGAAAACCAAAAAACAGAGAGCAGATCCGAGCACAGGATCCGGAGATATTGGGGCTTTTCTCCGCGCAGCCACGCGGCCGGCAAATCCCAAGATGGCGCCGGAGGCCTACACCTCCCAATCCTCGGACGAGGATAGCCACTACACTGAACACTCCATACTGAGCCAAGGGCGCCAGGCACCTCAGAGACCCCAGGATCAGGGTGACTCAGCACCCGCTACCAAAGCGGATATCAAAGCCCTGGTTAAAGAAATCAAGACCATGTTTCAGGCGGATATGGCACTGGTGAGGGAGGATATTGCTGCGCTAACAAACAGGGTGGCAGCAGTGGAGGAGGGCGCAAAAGGTACAACGCTGGCGCAAAATGCCACAGATGCTGCATTGAACGCCTTGCGCAAGCAGTGTGCCGACCAGCAAGCACAACTGGCGGACATGGAAGACAGGCACAAGACGCGGAACCTGAGGGTCCGGGGAATACCGGAGACAATCTCTGGCACTGAACTGCCACATTTCTGCCGACGGCTTATAGCCACGCTGCTGACACCACGGCAAGCAAAACAGGTAATGATCGATTCCTGCTTCAGGCTCTCCAGGGCGACCTCTACGCCACGAGAAGGAGCTAGCGACGTCCTGATAAAATTTGTGAGAGACTCTGACAGGGGAATACTTATGGGGGCCACAAGAGACTCTCCCACAGTGCCATTTGAGGGGGCACAACTAGCATTTTACAGAGACTATTCAAGACACTATACAATGGAGGAAATCTTTCCGTCAGGTTACGCAACTACTAAGGGATCAAGCCATCCCCTACAAGTGGGGCCCACGCAGACTACAGGCGGACAAGGCAGGCGTGACACACAAGCTATCACACACTTCTGAAATACCGGCATTCCTCAGAGCATTGGGCATACCGGCGCAGGCAGCACAAGAAACAGCTCGACCACCTTGGACTGTGGCAGATATCACCCCCTTTGTGCCAAGAGGAGAAGGCCCACAAGCTGCTGCCCTACCTACCTGATACAGCTGCAGCCATGCAAGTTCCATGTATTTTTACCTGTTGTAGACAACAGGAGCACCAACAGGACCCGGGACTGTTAATCCCCCGCCCTAGATAACTTCCTCCCACTGGCTCCGTAAGCTACGGCTCAGGTTTTTTTTTTAAATTGTATTTTGAGTGCACAAAGCAGAATTAATATTGCCCGTATCCCTCACACTCGATAAGCGAATACAGCCTTTTTACGCAATCATAGCATTAAGCCCTATGCCCAGGTCCGGCAGGACCCATGCCAGATACCCACACATTTAGACGTGCCTTAGGTCCACGCCACCTATACCATGCCACTATTAAGCCTATGGGCACCCACAGCACTGACTGAGCCCCACCAAGCAGTTCACCCTCCCTGATGTGCCATTCGTTAATGCCACACGTAAATTCACACAAACGAGCTTCAGGGCACTCGCCGCCATAGGAAAGGAGCCCCCCTAACATATCACCACTCCCCCGCGAGAGTACAGGCGAGAGAGGGCTGTAAAAGCTATTTGAAACCTATAAATGGATATTTCCCGCAACATGTTGAAATTACTGTGTGATTTATTCATTATATTGCCAAACATGTAATATTGAAAACATCATGCTTTATCCACAAAAATAAAGAATAAAAAAAAAAAAGTAATCTGCAAAGTACAAAATGTTTGTGTCATATGTCGTGCGAAAAATTAAGCTAGGAATGTGCATATTTTTTTAAAATAATTTTTAGAATAATGATAGACATTTTATTTCTTACATTTGTGATGATTCTTTTTTCCTCTCTATATTCAAGGGACACTATAGTCACCAGAACCACAACAGCTAAACGTAGTAGTTCAGGTGTATATAGCATGTCTTTGCAGGCTTTTTAATGTAAGCACAGCCATTTCGTAAAAAGGCAGTATTTACATTACTGATGAGGAATACCTCCAGTGGACACTCAGATGGCCACTAGAGCTGCTTCTTAGTCGAGACATGAATGCCGCCCTATGAAGTATCTGCGCATGTGCGGCAAAGCTGCGCATGTGCACCAGAGAGCAATGACGCTTCTGAATAGAAGCGTTTTATTGCTCCCTGCTCGCACCCTCCTATTTCGTTATTTTGACGAAATAGGGGGCGCAGCATCAGGAGGATCCCGGCGCTGTATCCAGGTAAGTAAAATCCCTTCCCTGTAGTGACCCTTTAAAGTTATTATTTAATCATTTATATAGCAACTGCAAATTCCGTAGCGCTGTGCAATGGGATAAACAACTCATAGTTTACGGAATAAGACTATACCCAGTGAGTAAAAATGCTATCCCCCCCAGATTTTTTTTTTTTGGGTTCCTACGCCTATGACCCTACCATGTATTCACCAACGTGAGAATTGTCAGCAATTCGAGGTGAATTCCCAGCAATTCTAAAATAGCCAAACTGGACATTGAGCAGACTGAGAGCATTATTTCAGTTAAATTGTTTTGGCCTTTCCCTCCTGCCAATTCTTTCTTTAGTGAATAAGCGTGAATGTGGGCACACTGTATCACATGCCAGATGATCCCTCACAAAGCCCACTAACAGGATGTAAACATTGCAAAGGTAGTTATGCGTAATTACTATTTATTAAGAATATCTCTTGGTTTTTATGCATTAAGCAACCAATAAAACCTCACCGACTCCATCATCCCACGGCCGATGCCAGACGTCAGAGTTTGAATGTAAGAAATGGACGTATTGTATACCAGACTGGAAGAGATGCGATGGCATCAGAGACTGTCAGGATGGCACCGATGAGCTGCACTGCCGTGAGTTCTTCCTGGGGTAGTTTTGGGGTTCTCTTGATTTAGGGGAAGATTTACTAAATGGTGTACCTGCATGCAGTGTTATGCCAGCAACTCATTTTAGGATTTTTAATAAACAAATTTTTTGTAACAGCTACTCATGCATCTACTCCCTGTGTTAACGGGTCTCTGTGTGAAGATGGGGAGGCGTGCATTTCTCTGTCTGACACATGTGATGGCTTTCTGGACTGTTCCGATGGCAGCGATGAAGCAAACTGCACAGGTAGAAAATGGCTTGTTTCATAATCTAATTAGCGGACAAAAATATTGTAAACAAATGTTGCCTTCCTTTGCAATCTATATTGAGCAGCGTTTAGGCTATTTGCTCTGTCAGATCTGAGATAAACAGTCTATGATGGATATAATCGGTCAGTGTTCAGCATTCGGGGAGACTGCTGTGCCTGATATTTTAATGACTTCTTGGAGTGATCCTCTGCATGTTCTGTGTAAATGGCTGAAGCTCTGTGTGATGTCTCCTTCTCAGATGACACCATAGTATACAAAGTTCAGAACCTGCAATATAAAGCAGATTTCAGTGGGGATGTCAGCCTGTCCTGGACCCGTCCCAAAAAGATGCCTCTCTCATCTTGCATCTACAATATTTATTACAGGTACTACAGCCCCTATCGTTCTGTATCTACAGTATTTATTACAGGTAATATGGCCCCTATGGTACTGTATCTACAGTATTTATTACAGGTAATATGGCCCTTATCGTTCTGTATCTACAATATATATCATGGGTAATACGGCCCCTATCGGTCTAGATCTGCAGTATTTAATACGCACTCAGTGCGGCCTGTATCCTCTTGTATCTATGATATATCTTTGCTGTATTAACTTGTTTTTCCACTCTGTTACCTCCTGATTCCCTTTATATGTTGCCAGTAGCTGCAATTATCCTTAAATCTGGCTATCACCTCAGTGTTCCCCCTCCTACTGCTTTACCTAGTAAGCTCATCGGCTATCTAACAAAGTACTTTGTATAAAGGAGCTCCCGTGGCTCGGTTCAGCTCACAGAGGGCCATCTTTACCTTTTGTATTGTTCCGCATATATTGTACTGTCTTTTTCCCCATTTGTACAGCGCTGCAGAATATGTTGGTGCTTTATAAATGCTTTATTAATGCCAGAAATAATCCTCGGAATCGCATAAAGATTTAGGGGTATTATTTGGAATTGTCATGTAGTATCCCAATGTTATTCAGGATCACATGTAAATATAATATTTGTTCCCTCAAGTGTGTGGAGGATTATTGGGGAACAGGTGTACCTAGATTAATCTGTCCCGTGATTCGTTGCAGGGTTATCGGTGAAAGCACATGGACGATCCTGGACTCCCAAAGCAATAAGACCATCTGCATCTTAAAGATTCTCAAACCAGACACGACATATCAGGTGAAAGTCCAGGTTCGTTGTCTTCGGAAAACTTACAACACCAATGATGTCATCACACTGCGAACTCCCGAGGGGCGTAAGTATAACTGTTGTGCTGGGTAGTTTAATTTGAATATTGGGTCACTGTGTGCTCAGCATGGCTTGGATTGTGGCATAGTGTGAATAAGCGTTTTTTGTTCTTTCAGTCCCAGGTGCCCCTCAGCATCTCCAGTTATCGCTGAATAAAGATGTTGACGAGGTTATAACCGCCAGCTGGGTCCCACCTGCTGACGCTCACGGTATAATAAGAGAGTATATAGTAAGTCACTTGGTTTACATTCTTTTTTTTTTTTTTTCTTCTTCCTTAAATAGAACTTTCTATTAAAAATGAAGAATGCTGTAAAAGTGCAACGTGTTAAATTGCTTTTACCAGACCAAGATATATTCACAGTCTGTTTATACCCCATACGCGGCTCGCCCACGTGATAACACCCCATACGCGGCTCGCCCACTGGACCGGGATTCCTTGTACGCGGCTCCCCACGTGAAAATAATTTACTCACAGCCACGGCTAATCCTGGGCGAGTGCACAGGCACTAAAAGTTGGGGTGCTGTGTGGCCCAATGTAACAGGAGACCCGGGAGGTGACTGGCTATCTAAGGGCGCCTCCGAGCAGCGCTTATTCAGCAAAACTGAGTAAGCACCTGGGGGAGAGAGGGGGGGCAGCAAGGGAGTGCTCTCTGCACTGATGCCAGGAGCCAGGATAAGAGCAGGAAGAACATCGAAGCCACTGGACTCCAAAGAGAGGATCCAGAGTACTCCTAAAGGTACGGAGGCCTGATGAGCCTAACAAAAATTAAATAAAATCAACAAAAAATAAAATTAATTTGTGTGTCTGCCAGTGAGTGTGTGTCTCAAAGACATTGTATGTGTCGAAACGTTGCTGGATCCACTTTATGGTGGATTAAATCTTCGTTTGATTAATTTATAGTGTTGCGGCTCCATCATTCTTTTAAAAGCGTGTGTGTCTGCCAGTGAAGGGATGGATGGGTGTGTGTGTGTGTTTCTGATTACAAAAAGGAGTGAGGCTTATAGATGGAGGTGGAGTAGTTGCCACAGAAACTTGCATGTCGAAAAATTCTGCACCCAGACTCTTGGGACACTAGTATCGGCTCTGCTCACGTGGTAATTCCTTGCTCACAGCTGCCCACTTCATAATACTTTAAGCACAGCTGCCCACATGATAATTTCCCACTCATAGATGTCCACGTCATAATACCCTGCTCACAGCTGCCCGCGTGGTAATACCCTGCTCACAGCTGCCCGCGTGGTAATACCCTGCTCACAGCTGCCCGCGTGGTAATACCCTGCTCACAGCTGCCCGTGTGGTAATACCCTGCTCACAGCTGCCCATGTGGTAATACCCTGCTCACGACTCTCCGCGTGATAATACCCTGCTCACGACTCTCCGCGTGATAATACCCTGCTCACGACTCTCTGCGTGATAATACCCTGCTCACGACTCTCCGCGTGGTAGCCTGCTCACGACTCTCCGCGTGGTAGCCTGCTCACGACTCTCCGCGTGATAATACCCTGCTCACGACTCTCCGCGTGGTAGTAGCCTGCTCACGACTCTCCGTGTGGTAGTAGCCTGCTCACGACTCTCCGCGTGATAATACCCTGCTCATGACTCTCCGCGTGGTAGTAGCCTGCTCATGACTCTCCGCGTGGTAGTAGCCTGCTCACGACTCTCCGCGTGGTAGTAGCCTGCTCACAGCTGCTCGCATGACGAGGATCCCTTATACACAGCTGCTCTCGTGTTAACTTTATGTATGCACCTTCTCTGAAAATGCAATATTTTCCAGGTATCTTACAGCATCAATGGAACAAAGTCATGGTGGTCATTTAATTCCCAGGTGAATTCCACCAGCATTAAATCTCTGGAATCGGACACGGTTTACGCTGTACGGGTAAGTTCTCCCAGTGCTTGTTTTTATTAAAGTGTACTGCGTTGTAAAGTGCTCTGACTTATGCAATAGAGGTTAATGAATTGGCAGATCTTGCACCAAGCGCAATGTGTGATTCAAAGGGATTTTGGGAAATTATGAATATCCTTAAAGTTGGCGAATTAAACAAAATGTGTTGGTATGTGTAGTGTGCAATAACAACCATGGAGATCTTCTGTGCGGATTCTGTGGCAGTGTTTTACTAGTAAAATCCAGAGGTGTAGGTGGTGGTTTTGCAGCAAGAAGCAGTAAAATACATTGATTAATGCTCATAAAACATTTCTATGCGGAAATTACTGTCCCACAAAAACAGTGCAATGACCTGAAGAGTGAGTGAGTGTGTGTGTGTGTGTGTGTGTGTGTGTGTGTGTGTTTTTCTGTAGAAAATATCTGTTCGATATAAGTGTATCAGAGTAAAACCATGGTAGTTGTTGGCCTTTCACAGTGTTTGCCTTGTCTGATTGTCTGTGCAGATTGCGATTTCTTAACACTGATTGATTTACACTGATCTGTCATTTGAAGGTGGCTGCCGTTACTGGGCGTGGTGTGGGGATGTGGAGCGACACAAAAACCATTTACACTAGAAAAGGAAAAGGTGCGTCTGTTAAAGGCCATTCTAAACGTGTAATGTTTTAATTTGTGGGGATGAGTTTCAGTGGGAATTTAAAAGGTTCACAACTCACATTTACCGCTTCAATTCAAAGGTTGAACAGACCCCTTGTAATTGTGACAATCCCAGGTGGTCATATATCCTTAAATGGGGTTTTAATTAGACCCAGACATGTGATGAAAGAACACGCAATGTCCCATTGCTACATTAATGGGAACTACAATCACCAGCACAACTACAGCTTAATGTAGTGGTTATGGTGTATTTAGAATGTCCTTGCAGACTTGGCATTATAAACACTGCCTTTTCAGAGAGGTTAAAACGATCGACTGGGGTTGCTGCGTTTTGCATCTGTTCTGCCCTTTTGGGTGGACTTAGTCTGATATGCTTTTGTAATGGCACAAGATGAGCTAAAACCAGCTTGAGATCTGAGCGGGGACCCAGCGAAGGGCAGGCTATTTGAGCTGTTGTCCGTTCTCTGTATTCTCTTGCATCCTGTTTTTTGCTCTCCCAGTGACTGCCACTAGAGGTGTTACAAGCCAGCAATGTGGATGGCCACTAGAGGTGTTACAAGCCAGCAATGTGGACGGCCACTAGCGGTGTTACAAGCCAGCAATGTAGACGGCCGCTACGGAAGTGTTACAAGCCAGCCATGTAGACGGCCGCTAGAAGTGTTACAAGCCAGCCATGTAGACGGCCGCTAGAAGTGTTACAAGCCAGCCATGTAGACGGCCGCTAGAAGTGTTACAAGCCAGCCATGTAGACGGCCGCTAGAAGTGTTACAAGCCAGCCACGTAGACGGCCGCTAGAAGTGTTACAAGCCAGCCACGTAGACGGCCGCTAGAAGTGTTACAAGCCAGCAATGTAGACAGCCACTAGAGGTGTTACAAGCCAGCAATGTAGACGGCCACTAGAGGTGTTACAAGCCAGCAATGTAGACGGCCGCTAGAGGTGTTACAAGCCAGCAAGAATTTCTCACTGTATCCTAAGTTCAGCATCTCCACACTCTGCATTGAGGTGCTTGACTGTTCCCCATATAGATGCATTGATTCAATGCATCTCTGAGGAGATGAAGATTGGCGCAGCACGGAGTTTGACCGTGTATGTGCAATAACCTTTGATTGTCGGACGTCGTCAAATTTGGTGATCTCCGCCATGGAAGGAGAGACTGGTGCAGCGCTGGAAAAAAGGAGTGGGGACCCGGAATCTAAATGGTTATTTTACCACTATAGTGTCAGGAATACATGTTTGTTCCTTTAAAGGGGATTTTATCAATAACTTACATTGTTCTTTTTTCTCCTTGTTGATACCAATCTTTTTTATTCAGTTCTCTCTCTGGTTCGGTTCCCTTTCTTTAGTTATCCCACTTCCAACCATAACCATTCAGAGCGTCAATGAGAGCGCTGTGGAATTAATGTTAAAAGTGGACTCTGATGTTCAGGTAAGGGACTTTTTATTCATTTATTTTTATACAGAATGTGTGTGAAATGGTGTATTAAATCAGGGTGGACTGCCAACAAGTGCTGGATAGCTTTAATAAAATGGTGGAAACATACAACTTGTCCGGGCTCAATCTGGTAAAACGCCACAATAGGACAATCTGACAAATCAAATTACAGCGGTAATTAAACGTCTCATGGATTGCATAAAGAACACCACATTATTAAATCTCGATTTATTATTTTAAAACCACAAGGGATCGTGACGGCCAAATCATAAACAGAAAACAGAATTATTCACTAACAATACTTCAGTCTAAAATTTGGTTTATTTACAGTGAATTATTGTAAAAGATTTAGGTAAAATTCGCCAATTCTGATCTAGGCCGTTTTGGTTGGTTGTTTTTAGGCTGAATTTTATTTTGTTCTCAGTTCATCACCATTTATATTTGTAATGCTGTCAGATAAGTTTACAGATGTTGTAAGTGTTTTTTACATGAGGTGAATTGCTCTGAAAGTCAAAATATGTGTATTCGTACGCAAGACCTTAACAAGCTCAAAAGAGACTAGCACCAATTACATTTTATTCTTCCAGCAATTTCTTTGCAGGCTCCACGCCCTTGCTAAACTGCCTTTGTATTCGCCTGAGCTGCGGTCCATTTATTTTAATTAAATGGATAACTTTGAAACAAAACGTTTCTCTCCCTGTGAAGACGATAACTGGGAAGGTCTATAATGTATCAACATTGAACGCTTGCGTATATCACACACTCACTTTATTTTTCAGGTATATGGTTACTCCATGTCCTTAGTTTGGGAGTTTGACTCACACGTACAAGAAAAAAGAACGCTTCAGTTTGATGGACAGACTGCAACATGTGAAGGTGAATTGAAACGTTTCTGGATTTAATCTTTTATTTTTTAATGAATATCATTGTCTTGTCCTCCGCAAACTTTCCTGCCTTGTGGTCTACCAGTGCGCTGCCGACAGCTGTGACGGCACGAGTCTTAACACAGTGTGTTGGCTTACTATTGTAAATGTATAGATTTTCTAAGCACTTTATATCCTTGTTTATGTGCCTGTGAAATCTCATTTCTCTAAACTCACATTCACATTGACTTTATCGCTTCACGTTCCCTGTGCTGCAGGATTGAGACGTGGTAATGGCATGACCTCCACTGTCACTCGTGGCTATTATTAGTCTTTGTATCGCTGTCCTATGGCAGTCCCAGCTTTGTCATTGTTTGAATTAAATTATTCATTTGCTACTTTGGGATTTATTCACTCAACTCTGAATTGCAGAGAATTGAAAGCCAAATTGCAAAATTTAAGAAATAACAAATTTTTTGCAATTTTCTATCTTTGCTAGATTTACAGATTTATTTTAGCCTAAATTTTACAACATAACATTTTACTTCACTGAAGTTTTAGTGAATAAACCCTTTTGTGACAGTCTTTGCAGTGTTTCCTTTTTAGTCATCAGCTTAATGTGTTTTTCTTTTTTAATTAGTCCATAACCTAACTGCACATACGGCCTATGAAATCTCTGTCTGGGCGAAAACCAGTTTCGGGGACAGTGCTGTGTCCTTTAGACACTTCGTGACAACGGGTATAAAGCCAGCCGCGCCAAGTCTGAAAGCCAGAGCAGTTAACCAGACAGCCGTGGAATGTAACTGGACGGGAGAGAGAGACGTGGTATGGGTCATATGATCATTCCTGTATAAACCACGTGGCATGTACCACGCAGAGTATTTATTAAAAATTAGCAATTTCTTTCTTCAGCTAGCCAATCAGCTTCTCAGAAATCCGGCAGACATCTGTCACCATCTCCACAATGGGTTTCATTAGATTATTCTTGACATTTCAAAATTGGACACGACATGGGATATGATTGGCAGGCTCCCTTCTGGTGAACTCGGAATTATCAGTGATTTGAGTAGGAAATATAGTCAATACCCAGACATTAAAACAAGAGGAAATCTCAGTGTATTGTTTTTATTCAAATTATATGTTTTGAGAGTTTCGGGGCTTTTTTGTTTTTGTTTGTATGAAAGGCATGAATTTGTGTTATTTGCAGCCGGGATTTGGCGATTGTGTTACAACTAACATGGGGCCAAAATTCTCTTGCTTATACAAAATACATAATACTCTCCTACTGATTTAATATTATTTTTACATGATGAACGCAGACAGGAACTTTGTTCACTTAAATGCTCCCTGCAGGAAATGTTTAAAGGGACACTATAGTCACCTGAACAATTTTAGCTTAATGAAGCAGTTTTGGTGTATAGAACATGCCCCTGCAGCCTCACTGCTCAATCCTCTGCCATTTAGGAGTTCAATCCCTTTGTTTATGAACCCTAGTCACACCTCCCTGCATGTGACTTGCACAGCATTCCATAAACACTTCCTGTAAAGAGAGCCCTATTTAGGCTTTCTTTATTGCAAGTTCTGTTTAATTAAGACCTTCTTATCCCCTGCTATGTTAAAAGCTTGCTAGACCCTGCAAGAGCCTCCTGTATGTGATTAAAGTTCAATTTAGAGATTGAGATACAATTATTTAAGGTAAATTACATCTGTTTGAAAGTGAAACCAGTTTTTTTTTTCATGCAGGCTCTGTCAATCATAGCCAGGGGAGGTGTGGCTAGGGCTGCATAAACAGAAACAAAGTGATTTAACTCCTAAATGACAGTGAATTGAGCAGTGAAATTGCAGGGGAATGATCTATACACTAAAACTGCTTTATTTAGCTAAAGTAATTTAGGTGACTATAGTGTTCATTTAATGTTCTGTATATTAGATATAAGAATGTAATATACACAGCATATTCTCCAGGCTGTTTAAGGAAGTCGGAATTTTGTAGATTAATGCGTTGGGTTCTTTATTGTTGCCCCACCCATCTTTTTTTTTTTTTTCCTGTGTGGGGAAAAGGTTTAAGTCAGTTAAAGGTACACTTCAAATTGCTAAAGATTTTTAGCTTTTTCAATAGAAATTGTCACTTTTTTTTAAATGTACCTTGTTACACTCCCCTGGCTGTCAGACAACCGATCCTGTTATTTCCTGGTTTGGTTAGCAAAGTGGAACTAAACTCGAGGCAGCAATGGCCCAGAGCACCTGCCTTGCAAAGAATTCTCATTGAAGTCTGTGATTGGATAGCTACAGAAAGTCTGGACGGGATTGAAGGGGAGGGATTGCAGAGGCTGCAGCTTTTACGAGTTGGTTTTAAATCTAGAATACATAATTAAATGCATGCATGTCTTCATGGGGATATATGTACTAAACTGATTTTATTTTTAAAATGGATTTAGTTTACATGGGAAGTGGAGTATCCCTTTAATCTATAAATAGGTTTTATTTCCCAAAATTGTGCAGCTTCTTCCTACAGGCCATCACTTTATTAAATTAAAAATTTTGATTGAATTTATCTTTTTGTTTTTTTAGATTTATGGAATATTTTATGCAACCTCGTTTTTAGAGCTTCACAGGAGCCCACTAAACATAAATACTACTCTTCACAACGCGTCGGTTATTGTGAATAGAGATGAGCAGTACCTGTTCTTGGTAAGATTATATTACTCTATTTTGGGGGAAATAAGTGTATGCTCCCTGATGCTATTACATGTTAATGTTGCACATAAAGTGCTGGTATCTGGACATCATTATCACTTGCTTGTGTGATTAACCAGATCCTGACAAAGTGACAAACCCATTTTCTATATTATTAGCATTAAATGATGCTAAATTGACTTCAATTATCCTTCACTGAAAATAATTTGTTATGGAATAATTTAAAAACATTAGTAAACAGAGCAGAGACTTAACTGGTGGTTTATAGTGATTATACAAAATGTTATGTCCTTCATGTGATCAGCTTTGCACTTGAAATGTTTTTTAGGTTCGGGTAGTATCGCCGTACCTAGGTCCTCCTTCAGATTATGTGGTGGTAAAAATGATTCCTGATAACAGACTGCCGCCACGCCATCTTCACTGCGTGCAAGTCGATAAAACATTTGCTGTTATTAAGTGGGAATCGCCATATGATTCTCCGGACAGCAAGATGGTGAGTAACTGCTCTTATACGGGACACTAATCTTACCGTGTGACGGTGTTCATACCATGAGGCACAACTATATACTCGGACACATTTTAAGATAAAATAAACCCACATGCTCTTTAAAAAAAAAAAAAAAAAAAATGTTTTATTACTAGTCACTGTTTTGCCCTTTTTGGGTGATTTAAGGTGCAAACGTGATTCTGATAGCATTATCTGTTAGAGTTTAGGGGATTTTGGAGGGTGCCCTCAAAGGCACAGTATATGGTTTTCCCTCTCTCACCTTTGAATTATAGATTCTTTTAGCAGCAGCATAGATCCAGGTTGGAAGTTTAGTGTAGAGGTTATTCTCTTATAAGCTAATGTATCCATAGTAGTAGCTTCTAATTAAGCCATATTGTTTCCTTTATCTTTTGCAATTGTTGTAACTTTGAAACCATTTCTCTCCATCTAACCTTCATAAATTGCCCATTGTAGAACGTTCTCAGAATAGCACTACCTAAAAACCTTCTGGCTCTTGTACTTTGAGGTGAAAGCTTAGTTCATATATGCTCTGAGGGATTGTCTTTTTTTTTTTTTAATCCAAATTAATATATTCACTTATTAAAAGGGGCTCTTCCGGTTTGTAGGGTAAATGTGTGAACTCTTATTACTTTTGGTGTTAACCCTGTGGGGTCTGTTCATTAAAAATCATATTATATTGAATTGAAAATGGAATTGCAAAATTTAGACCTCTAAATCCAATTCACTCCAGTTGTTTACCCACTCAGTGTTGTGTGCTGTGTGTGGCTGCGTGCGTGTTCTGATGCCTGGGTTCAAACAAACTGCTCGACTTCACCTGTGTCATTTTTTGAGGAAGCCAATTCCAGAATGACTGTTGTTTGCATTCAGTCAGTGAAGGTGGGCATTGAGTCATTAGTGCCCCAGCCATGCCTGAAGCTGTCTGGCTGCTGGTTGTTGTTTTTTTTTTTTTATTGTTCAAATATGTGTAGGTTTATGGTGATCGAAACCAGTCTCTCATCTCTATATTGTAAACCACTACTTACTAAAAATAAGTCCATTGTATGTTTTTTTTCCCTCTTCTTCTAATGTTATAAGCTATTATTTTCTAGACTTATATTGTTGCTGTGAAGGATTTGATAAAGAAGAGTGATCAAAATTACAAGGTAAATACTCAGAACAGCACCGTCGAGTACCGGATCGGAAACCTGGAACCGGGAGGCAAATATAGTGTCATTGTCCAACTGCGCAACATGAGCAGAGAAGCCAGTATCAAAGTGAACACAGGTAACGCCATAACATTCGTGTTACCCATCACGTTTAACGACTGGCAGGGAGATCAGACAATGTCTAAGAATTCTGCTGGGTTGACACTGTATTTACATATTTAGAAACTTGTTCAACTCATTTCTGATACATGAAGGGGCTGATTGGGAAAATGACCAATTCAGCTAATTTTATATGAAACCCGTACTCTTCATGCAGCTAGCCATCCATGTTGTGATAATCTTTCCATGCTTATACTGATATTAAACATTTTAAATCCAAGGACATATCGTAAATCTTTCCATTTTCTTTCAGTTCTGCTGCCTGCACCAGAAGCTCTGAAACTCATCAGTGAAAATGACCATATCTTACTTTATTGGAAGAGTTTGGCTTTAAAGGAAAAGATGTTTAATGAAAGCAGAGTAAGTGTTTCTGGATGAGAGTTTCTTTATCTGTCGGCACTGTTTTCACCATTTTTTGCCTGATAAGGTAGTTCAGTTAATATATTGGTTTCAAAGTCTGACGCCTGCAGGAATATTTACTAAATTGAGATTTCAAAGTCATTTCAAACTGAACTGGAAAAATTCTCCAAATCTGCTGTGCTTGGAGTTTGGATGTTTTTACCCATAACCCATACCCATTTTACCCGCCAATGGCTTCTGCTAAGGAGGTGTGTAGACCATGAACAAGCAGCTTAGCTAGGATGTCATTAGGCACAACTTCTGCCTTAAAGGACCACTCTAGGCACCCAGACCACTTCAGCTTAATGAAGTGGTCTGGGTGACAGGTCCTTCTAGGGTTAACCCATTTTTTTTATAAACATAGCAGTTTGAGAAACTGCTATGTTTATGAATGGGTTAAGCCTTCCCCCTAATCCTCTAGTGGCTGTCTCATTGACAGCCACTAGAGGCGCTTGCGTGCTTCTCACTGTGATTTTCACAGTGAGAGCACGCAAGCGTCCATAGGAAAGCATTGTAAATGCTTTCCTATGCGACCGGCTGCGCGCGCAGCTCTTGCCGCGCGTGCGCATTCAGCCCAGGAGGAGGATCGGAGGAGGCGAGGAGGCAGAGAGCTCCCCGCCCAGCGCTGGAAAAAGGTAAGTTTTTAACACTTTCCCCTTTCCAGAGCCGGGCGGGAGGGGGTCCCTGAGGGTGGGGGCACTCTCAGGGCACTATAGTGCCAGGAAAACGAGTATGTTTTCCTGGCACTATAGTGGTCCTTTAACACCACTTCATACATTTTTCTCCATTCCCCACGTCGGGGTTGCTGAGCAGGGAGGCAAATAGGCCAATTGTGCTATTGGCTATTGCAAGCACCTTGAGCTTTTCAGGGATTTGAAGTTGTTATGGTACTTGGAGTATGTATGTTCAGTGCCTCCATTTTGAATTGCCGCACTCACATCCTCAAAGGTCTCTCCTGTCCGAAGTGTATCTACCCCTCAGACAGTGTCGTTAGCCAACCCAGAATCAGAGTTCCAGGCTGGATAATGTTAACTATTTGGCATCTGTTGTCGGCACACACAGCATGTCGCCACCAAACAACCCCTGGGACGACCCTGCACCTGCTGTGAGGATTGAGCTGAGAGAGAACTCCGAGCAGGTCACTTCGTTACACAATGAAATATAGTGATAGACGAGGTTAACAATTTGATAATTTGTAAAACTTGCCCCCAGGTCCTCCAGAGATTGTCGTTTGTCTTTAGTTGAGAACATTTTCATTTAAATCCTAGAGCAGTTTTTGGAGTTCTGATTGAACAGCATGTCATCTTTTCATGTTATAGGGTTATGAAATACACATGTTTGACAGCGCCAGTAACTTGACCACATGCCTGGGAAATACAACCGATAACGTCTTCAAAATTTCCAACTTGAAGATGGGTCATAATTACACCTTCTCTGTGCAAGCTAGATGCCTGTATGGTGGGCAGATCTGTGGTGAGCCAGCTGTTCTTCTCTTCAATGAGCTCGGCGCCGGTAAGATCTCATTCCTAATTCATGCATACCCATATAAACCTATGTGGAGGGGAGGAGGAAAAAAACACACACACCTCCCACCCCACGTTGAGGTAGCTGAGTAAGCAGGAAGGAAAATGGGACAATTGTGCTATTGGTTATTAATACATACACACACTGGCACACAGAGATACAAACATACCTACACAGGCACATACACACACTGGCACACATACAAATATATACCCACAAGCACACACTGGCACACATATCTACACAAACATACAGCTACACACCCTGGCACACACACAGATACATACTGACACTCAGATATATATATATATATATATATACACACACACACACACACACACACACACACACACACACACACACACACACACACTCACTCAGATATACATACTGGTGCACAGAAATACACATACACACACTAACACATCTTCACGTACACACACACACAGATACATACCTAAAGTTACACATACCTAAAGATACACAGATACTCATACCTAAATGTGCACACTGGCACACACAATTTGCAATTTATCACCCCTACTGCTTCCATACCTTTTGATTGCAGGGTGGTGACTTCCTGGGGCTGGCTTGCGCTGATGGGAGTCTGCAGCTGACTGCCTGCTGAGCTCCCTCCTCTGTCTTTAGCAATAATACCCATTGGGTAGCCCTTCATGCATGGGCCACGCAATGGTCCCCCAAGCCATGCGGGGCTCCAGGGGGACTGCTTCTGCGTTGGTTCTGCCACTGATGGCGGTTACTCCTGCATGCTGGAGGGTGAGAATGGGCTGAGGGGAGGACAGGAGCTGGCTTTGGCTGTCTAGTATCAGCATGCTGTGCGTTCTGACGCCAGACACCAATTCTTCACATAATTCACATTGACCACCCTTGTTCCAGACTGCTAGTGACACCCCAGTGATGCTGCCAGCAGGGAGTTACATCTGCAGTAGAAGAGGGGTTAATCTCCAAGTAAACAAGGTAAATAAATTAAAGTCCTAGTTAGGATAGTGATGATGAAACGGAGTTCAATAGCGTGGAACTTGGGTCCTATTATTGGTCTCTGCAGTATAGAGGGTGAGAGGGTGATGATGCAGGGTGATCCAAGAAGTTTTAAAATGTGAAATAGGAGAGGTCTTACTTACAGTTGGTAGAGCTTAATCCAGCTCTGGTGTGGATAGCTTGCAGCGGTATTATCCCCGCTTGTAGGAAATACGGTGAGTATCCTCTTCTGTGCAGTAGCAGACGGCCAGGTGGGAGATAAAAATGGAAACAATAATGGTGCAGTATGTTCCAAAAATTGAGTAAAAGATGTTAAAATATAGTAGATACACTCACATTGGTTAGAGCTTCTACTAGCTCTAGTGTTGTAGGCATACAGCGGTATAATCCCCGCTTCTGGGATATATGATGAGTGTTCTTAGAGATGGTATCAGGAGCTCAGAAAGAAGATAATAAAACAGCAATAGTGCTCTCAATAAAATCTTTTAGGTATATAAAATATAGTAAAATATACTCACAGTATATAGGGCAGGCTAACTGCTCTATGACAAGGACGTAGGTGGTATGATCCCCATCTGGTATTCTTTGGAGTATAGTACAAATTAGATAAAATAAAAATAGATATAAAAAGCCAGGTAGTAGTAAAAAATTAAAAATGTAAATAAAAGATGATGGTATAAAAGAGTAAAAAGGACCAAAATCTATTTATTAACAATAATTAAAAGCAGTACAATATCCAAACACGTTTCACCATATAGGCTTTATCAATGGATTAAAAAACTTTCAACCTGGATAGTTGGGGTACATATAGGCATTGGACAAATTAAAATTGGCACCAAAATTGCTCTAACCAATCACAGAGCAGATTATGATTGCACTTAAATAATAACAATTTGTGTTTAAAATTACATAGGTATAACTTATTACAAAATATATAATTTAATTATAAAAATGAGCGTTATGAAGAGTGTTATCGGCATTTTTGCTGAGACACATGACGCGCGACGTCACTTCCGGCCGCTCGGTGTTGTGGGGCATGTAGTTGGAGAACTACATGCCTTTGCTACTGGCCGGCAAGGAAATAGAGCCACATAAAAGGCTCGGAGGGGGGGGAGTGGCAGAGGGTCGGCTAGAGAGGTGGGAATAGAAAAGATAGGGGATGGTTGCGGCGGCCATCTTGGTGGGGGAATAAAACTAATAAGGCTTTGGTTAAAGGACCGCTCTAGGCACCCAGACCACTTCAGCTTAATGAAGTGGTCTGGGTGCCAGGTCCAGCTCGGGTTAACCCATTTTTTTTATAAACTTAGCAGTTTCAGAGAAACTGCTATGTTTATAAATGGGTTAATCCAGCCCTCAACTCCTCTAGTGGCTGTCTCATTGACAGCCGCTAGAGGCGCTTGAGTGATTCTCACTGTGAAGATCACAGTGAGAACACACAAGCGTCCATAGGAAAGCATTATGAATGCTTTCCTATGACACCGGCTGCGCGCGAAAGGGAGGAGAGGAGGAGGAGGATCGGAGGCGGAGAGCTCCCCGCCCGGCGCTGGAGAAAGTTAAGTTTTAACCCCTTTCCCCTCCCCAGAGCCCGGCGGGAGGGGGACCCTGAGGGTGGGGGCATCCTCAGGGCACTATAGTGCCAGGAAAACAAGTATGTTTTCCTGGCACTATAGTGGTCTTTTAACATAGCAGCGGCCATGTTGCATGTGGCAGTGAAAAATAGTGATATTAACCCCTTAAGGACACAACTTCTGGAATAACATGGAATCATGACGGAATATTTCCGTCGTGTCCTTAAGGGGTTAACAGAACATACATAATGGAATGGGAAAGAATTATAGTATATTCTATAGAGATTAAAAGTGTCTATCATACAGATGGAATAAGACAGGCAGCAAATGTACAGATATAGCATAGTAGCAATTGTAAATAAAAGCAGTAGGAACAAATAATAAATGAATAGAGTAAACAAAATGATTAAAATATGTGAACTTATATTGATACAGGGGATTGGGGGGGGAACACAATTAAATGAATAAAAGATATAGTAGTAAAAATAAATATAAAATAAACAAAAATAGATAATAAACAGATAAAAATAGGATGTCATATAAAATTAAATAGATCAAAATCAGCATTTAACCCCTTAAGGACACATGACATGTGTGACATGTCATGATTCCCTTTTATTCCAGAAGTTTGGTCCTTATTGGGTTAAATTAAAAACCCATTCGATTTCACTTTTTCCTAAAATATTTTTAACCCCTTAAGGACCGAGGATGGTTCAGGACCGTCATCGGCATTTTCCTATTGCCGACCGGTGACCGTCCTAACGGTCCTAGTTACTTACCTGATCGCCGTCGTTCCCCTGGCGGTGATCAGCGTTGCTCCCGGTGTGGGGAGACTGCCTGCAGCCCAGACAGTCTCCCCACACTGAATTAGGACCCCTGTGGCCATGTGATCGCTCAACAGTATGTGTCCATGTGTCTGCCTGGCCTGCAGGGGGACTGTCTGTGCTGACAGGAAGTCTCCCTGCTAGTGAAAAATCATTAAAAAAAATAGTTAGTGTTAATAAAAAAAAAAAAAAAATTGTGTGTGTGTGTAATATATATATATATATATATATATATATATATATATATATATATATATATATATATATATATATATATATATATATATATGTGTGTGTGTATGTCTATATATCAATATATATGTCTATATATCATATATATAATGTCATACTAAGTGTATTTTTATATTATGTACATATATTAATATAAAAATACTTATAATTAAATTACACACGTATATATAATATATATATATATATAACTATATATTGTATATATTATAAAATATAAATAATCTAAATTAAATTAATTTTTTTTAAATAATAAAAATTGAGAAATTATCTATATGAAATTTTATTCTAACTGTATTTTAAAATTAATATATATATATTTAAATCAAAATACACTTAGAATTTGTATATATATCTATGTATATATAAATAAATAAAAATAATACAAAATATACATATGTCCATATACAAAATTACATAAATAATTATATAAATGTACACGTAGACTTCAGATATATAAATATGCATATATATTTAAATTCTACGTGCGTATTTATGTAATATTTTTACATAATTAAGTAATTTTATTGATTGCAATTTGAGGGACCTGCCTGCCAACCCAGGCCGAAAGTCCAGAGAATTTAATTTGCTAGCACTGTATTTTACCCTGTAACGTTCCACGACACCCTAAAACCTGTACATGGGGGGGTACAGTTTTACTCTGGAGACTTCGCTGAACACAAATATTAGTGATTGAAAACAGTAAAACATATCACAGCGATGATATTGTCAGTGAAAGTGACTTTTTTTGCATTTTTCACACACAAACTGCACTTTAATGATATAATTGTTGTGATACAGTTTTTAAACACTAATATTTGTGTTCAGCGATGTCTCCCGAGTAAAACAGTACCCCCCATGTACAGGTTTTATAGCATTTTTGAAAGTTACAAGGTCAAATATATGGGTCAAATATTTTTACATTGAAAATGGCCAGGTTGGTTACGTTGCCTTTGAGAGCGTATGGTAGCCCAGGAATGAGAATTACCCCCATGATGGCATACCATTTGCAAAAGAAGACAACCCAAGGTATTGCAAATGGGGTATGTCCAGTCTTTTTTAGTAACCACTTGGTCACAAACACTGGCCAAAATTAGCGTTCAATTTAGTTTTTTTACTTTTTTCCACACACAAACAAATATGAATGCTTACTTTGGCCAGTGTTTTCAAATAAGTGGCTACTAAAAAAGACTGGACATACCCCATATTGAATACCCTGGGTTGTCTACTTTAAAAAAAATATGTACATGTGGGGTGTTATTCAGAGATTTATGGCAGATAATAGTGTTACAATGTCACTATTGATAAATTTTAAAAATGTATGTTTTGAAACCGCAATATCCTATTTGTACCTATAGCCCTATAACATGCAAAAAAAAGCATGTAAACACTGGGTATTTTTAAACTCAGGACAAAATTTTGAATCTATTTAGCAGTTTTTTTCATTCGCTTTTGTAGATGAGTAAAATATTTTTCAAGTAAAAGTCAAAAACATGTATTTTTTTTCAATTTTTCATCATATTTTATTTTTTTTAAATTAAAATACATGAGATTATATAAATAATGGTATGTAAAGAAAACTCCTTTTGTCCTGAAAAATACAATATATAATTTGTATGGGAACAGTAAATGAGAGAGCAGAAAATTACAGCCAAACACAAACACCACAAAAGTGTAAAAATATGCCTGGTCGCAAATGTACAACATCGCAAAAACAGTCCAGTCCTTAAGGGGTTAATATTGTCTCCTCTCCATGGAATAGTGCATTTTTTATGCCAATACATTTTAAATGGCCCGGATCATTGTTGTGGATAGAAAAATGTTTAGATACAGTCTTTTTCTCTGTCTTTTTTTTAATCTCCATATGTGCAGCATTTCATAGCAAAAGACTGCACACACAGACTCCAGGCACCATCTCCACTATCACAATGGTCATGGAGCTTGGAAGGTCCCCTTTTACAAAGGGCAAGCTTTGGCTCATAGATTTGATTTTCATTGGCATAGAGAGTGTTGTTTAGCTTTGTGCCCCATCTACCAATCGAGCTGTGGAACTATATATCTATCTATCTCTTCTACATGCAAGACGTGTTTCGAGTTTCCATGTGGCGTAACCTTAAATGTGCTAACAGTGTTTGTAGAAAACACATATGTATTTAATTCCTGGAATAAGCTGTTGTCATTCATTGCTCACCTTTAACTTAAACCTTAAAACATTCTGTTTTGCCAGCAGTGGATCCAGCTTCACCTCAGTCCGTGCAGTCCAGTGACGTGGCCGCCATCGTGGTACCAATTTTGTTTCTGCTCCTAGTGTCCATGGGTGTGGGCTTTGTCATATTGTACATGCGGCACAGGAGACTTCAGAACAGCTTCACTGCATTTGCAAACAGCCATTATAGCTCACGGCTTGGATCTGCCATCTTCTCATCTGGCGACGATATCGGTAAGAAACCTTTTGTGATTGATAAGCCGTGCTGGATGTCAACTTCGTAAATGACAGCAAAATCAATGCAATGCTTTTAGTTAGTGTAGTGAATCTCTCATTTACAGGGTTAAAAATGTGACATTGATTTGCTTTGAAACCTGGGAATGAAAGTATTTTTAGGAGAATTCAGATTCGTGAAATGTATGCAGAATAGAAACATTTTTGCTTTATTTGGGAAAATTCTCACACACGGCCAATACAGCTACCTGGATGAAAGCAGCACGGAATCCCATGGAGTATTCCCTGAACTTGCCTGTTTAGCAGCACTTTACTTTGAGAGCCATGTAAGCTCCAGTTAATTGCTGGAAGGGAAACTCGGATTTGCAGAAGCGACATTGAGGAGAAATGTCTCTTCTCTTTGTGCAGACAGAGTTATTCACTAAAATATGAACAGTCAAAATTCAAAGGGAATTTTAGATTGTAGACAGAAATCGCAACAACAAAAACATTGGATTTGAAGTATTTTCCATCTTGGTCTAAAATTTGAAGTACAGTATATACTCGAGTATAAGTCTAGTTTTTCAGCACATTTTTTGTGCTTAAAAACCCCCACTCGACTTATACTCGAGTCACTGTCTGTATTATGGCAACTTAGAGAGCCGCGGCCGTCAGAGCCATGGCAACGATCCTCGCGGCAACCAGACTGCGAGACTTACAGTGGAGGTGACCGGAACGGAGGAGAAGGGAGCTGACAGGAGCTGCAGGAAAGGTAAGTAAATGCTTCCTGCGGGCCCCCCCACTTCACAGCCCATGCCACTGGACCACCAGGGATTAAGATAGCCCTTCTCCCTGACCAGTTAACAAGCAGGGAGGGGGGACAAAATAAAATTAAAATAATAAAAAAATAATAATATTAAAATAAAAAAATTTAAATAATAAAAATGCCCTCCCCCCACCCAGTTCACACACACTACACAAACACACACTCTGCATTATATACACAGAGTGTGTGTATATAATGCAGAGTGTGTTTGTATGAGTGTGTGTGTGTGTATATAATGCAGAGTGTGTGTGTATGTGTGTGTATATAATGCATGAGTGTGTGTTTGTATGAGTGTGTGTGTATATAATTATAAAAATCACAGAATTTCATAGCCCCAAGTTTTACCCTCGACTTATCCACGAGGCATAGCATATTTCACAATTGTTGGTCACAAAACTGCACTCGACTTATACATGAGATCGACTTATACACGAGTATATACGGTATTTAAAATTAGAATTTCTGCCTGTTCATACTTTGTTACAGGCTTATTATTTTAGGAATATTTTATGGTAAGCGCTGTACAGCAGGATATGTGACACAGCGTAAACCCTTATATTGATCTAACTGTAACGTATCGCTGTTTTTCTATTTGCAGGTGATGATGATGATGATTCACCCATGATCACCGGATTTTCAGACGACGTACCTATGGTTATAGCGTGAATCTAATTCATTCTTGGGTTAAATCCAAATGATGTAATATTTTTATTTCTGAAAGATAGTGTTTATTTTTAAGGTTTCGATTTTTTTTTTCTCTTTCCTTTTTTCTTTTTCCAGATGCACTTTGAGTTGCAATGTTATTTTTATATCGCAAAAAAAAAAATGCAAACTTTGTGGTACTGAACTGTGAAATGCGAAATTATTCCCCCACCCCCTCCCCCCCAAACTGTAATTTTTACTTTAATCCTATTTTGACCCCTTTGCCCCTGAAATGAAATGAAGTATGGTTCTGATTTTTAGTATGGATATTGTACTGGTAACGTGTGCCAGTTTGGAACGGGTAACGAAAATCCTGAAAAGACCCCAGAACAGCAGCTTTCTATGGTGCCTTATTGGTTTAAACCAACCAAAAACCAAGACTTGTTCATCTCATGGATAGTCGATCTGTAGATCTATCCCATCTAGAACTTTCCATTAGGTGACAGGGCCACACAAGTCCGGTCATTTTCTATTGTTTTGCCAAACTGCTGATATGAGCCACAGCCAGGGGTGGGCAAGCATTGGCACCGGTGGGCCACTTTGGCTTCTTCAAGTGCCAGTAATTTTGTCCCCTGCCCACTACAGAATCTCTGCCAAAGTATTGCTAGACTCTGTTCTCCGCAGAAAGTCAGGATTGAAGGGATTAAAGTCTTGCTCTGTTTTATGTTTGTAAAATATCTTCCCGGCAAAATGTTGCTTTTCTTTTTTTGCGATTTAAGTGACAGGATAGGATCCTAAACTCTGTCCTGAACCAAATATTGTGCAGGCCTGTCATTCTCGTCACACATGCCCTAAGTGTGCTGGACATGTTGCACACTTTCCATCCCATAACACGGTGCCTTTTTGGATTTTAACGGTGAACCCAAGAGAATGCGCAGACGCACATTCTGAGATTTGCAATAATTTTGGGATAGGAGTTCTTATTTCAGAAATCTCTCTAACCTCTTAGTTCTTGGCCTTGATGCTTGCTGTCATTCTCTGAACGGTTAATTTCTCCCAAATAGGAAAAGAAAAATAAGTGTGGTGTAATAGCTCACACACCAGAATGTGTTCTCTTGGCCTCTCAATCCCTCAAGGTGTACTGTGCTTCATTTACCGAGTCATGTGGTCAGTACGTGGCACACGGATTACCGTACAGCAGAAATAATCACAAGAAATGACAAAAAAAGGCTGTCCTCTTAATTTATGGCTTTGTCGTGACCTTTAGTAAAATTACAATTCTCTATTTTCAGTGGGTTATATTTGTTTGTCTTCTCCCACTTATTATCTGAGGATGGTGGGAGCTGCAGTCCTCTATGGCTGACATGCCTGCATTAGACCTTTATGCATGGAGAATGTGTTTTTGCTTTTAATACTTCCTGCGCAGATGCGGACAATATCTGAGAAACCGCCATAGTTCAATCTATAACTGTATAGCCGCCATGCAGATATGTATACTGGGAATAAAACGTAGTTCCGTGTATATGTTTAACACATTGTAAAGCACTGTTAGTACACCAATAATTTAGGGTTGTTGTATATAAAGATTCCATTTTTTTTTCACTGATTTTCTTGAAACATGCAAATTAAATGATTCACTGCACTTTGTCCATACGCAGCTCTCGCGCTGTGAGGTCATTACGCACATTCTTCAGGGTTAGGCAGATTTTTGTAAAATTTTCAGCTGTTTCTTACATTATTTTGCTGGCCCTTTATTGTCTCAGGGGCCAAAGCATTGTCCATCACTGAATGGACATGAATGTGAAATTTGTTCAGGACCAAACTGTTAACTCTTAGTGTCGCTTGTGTTGTGCCATTTTGTCTGTGACTGTAATGGATGCAGAGTTCGATTAGAGTGACGGCCATGTCGTCTTTATCTGGTTTCAAGGTCTAATGGCATGTGATATCCATGTTGGCAATCTACTATCAATAATAATAATACAACCTATAATATCTTTTCTTTTGCTTCTCCAGACGAATATGGTGTAAATGGTACAGAATCCCTGCTTCCTCTGCTGCTGATTTTTATTTTAGATTTAGTTTTCCTCCCCCGTCTCTGGATGTGTAATGTCAGATATCTGTGTGCTTGCTCGCTCTGCTCCTGCATGGTACTATAACCTTGCACGTAGCTCTGAATTGAAGCCGTGCAAGGGACGGGTTGCAGACATGTGAGGTGAATGCAGTACGATGTGTTCCCCATAATTTCTCTACCTCTGTACATTCTATTCCACACAATATGGCTTATTTACAGAATTGTGATGGGTTGGCCAGGGAAATGTAAATTGTAGATTAAAATGGCCAAATCAGAAAAGTGTCCAAGCTATTATTTTTCTATTTCAACTATTTTGAGCTAAAATTTGCAATCAGGTTTTTAATTCTCTCCAATTTCCTTTTAGTGAATAAATTAACATTTATGAGAGAATTTGTTTCTGTGGCTTTAAATCCACTCTCCTTGGTATTCTGTGGTTTTGGATCAAACTTGCTGTCAGTCAGGCTGTGTGTCAAGCAGCCACCTAGAACTCGGCAAGTTGGGAGAGACCTGCGCACAGTCTCCAGGCCAGCCCCAGAAACACAGGGTATTCACTGAAGTGGGAATTGTCTGAAATAACCAAACTGGAAATAATTCTTCAAATCCCCTATGTTTGGAGTTTGGCTATCTTTACACTAACATTTTAAATCCTTCTTGGATTGAGACTTTAGTGACTAACCCAGTTTTAATTGTTCGCCAAGCGCTGTTTTTCATTCTAAGTGTGCGGTGTAATAGCAAGAAAGCCTACAGATCCAGTTCATTTATTTTGTAAATTACAATTCAACCCATTGGCTACCCCGGCAGCTTAGAAAACGCAATACCCTCTCTGTCCCATAACAGGTTAGAGGTGCAGGGCAAGTTTATTCTAATGATTGTTTTTAACTGTTTTTATATATTGTGGATTTTCCGCAGATCCAGTGATCAACTGTTGCCAATTGACATTGATTTTTGGATGCTAAAGGGATATTTTATTAAATGTACATGTTTGATTACAGTGTGAATGTTTACATCAAACGTTTAATGTTAAATAAAAATAATCCACGGTTGATTTTTGGGAAAAGGACATCCAAGAATGGAGTAATGTAGAACTGTGGCATTGACTTTAAAAGAAAACGGCTTTAATTTGCCCTTTGATATATTTCAGCCACGCACACGTCCACTTTCACGCATTGCTACTGAATTCTTTGCAGACCAATCATTCCGTGATTTTTTTTCTGTGTTTTTTTGTAAAATGTTGGGCATTCATGATTTGGCATTCATTCTACTTTTCTCGTGTTTTGGTTGGTATTCTCATGTTTTATAAGTTTGGCATACATGATAAAAATGTTGTGTTTGCACAAACCTGGAAGACAATATATGCTTTAATTGTCAACCTTTTATTCTATTTAAAATAAATTGGTTTAAAACTGAATTTTTGTGGTTTTACTTATTACAGTTTAGTTCTGACATCACTACTGTTCAATTATACAGCTATTACAGTCTAGTTCTGACATCACTATCATCTATATAACTGTGTGTACTAATGTATTGTGCATTATGAAGGAAAGAAATGCCATCGAGAGATGACAAAAAAAAACTCGAAGTCATACTAAACCTCCACAAGTCACTAATAGCAATATGTTTACATATTCTGATATATCAGGGTAACAATTCCTGTTTTCAGACTTGAAGCTATAATATCTCTGTAAGTGTAGCCGCCCAGCCTCGGACTATCAGCCTTTCAACCCTGTAGCCACTAGACTCCTGCATTGCAGAATCCTGCCACTGGGGCCATTAGTGCATGTGCTACATTATGAGGTCCTCGCATGATCACACCATTACAGAATCCTGACACTGGGGCCATTAATGAATGTGCTACAATGTGAGGTCATAGCATGATCTCACCATTACAGAATCCTGTCCCATGGCTCCTGAGACTGGATGTACAAAGTGAGGTCAGCATATGATGTCATGCTGCAGTGTTATGATTTCTGCCACGGGACTCCTGTGAGGGCTTTGTGAGATCAACATATGATGTCACACTACAATTTGAGGACAGCTATCCCGTGAGACCATTTTACCAGCTTTGTGCTGCAATATGTAAATTACAATAAATTGTGAAATAAATTAAAGGATCACTATAGGGTCAGGAACACAAACATGTATTCCTGGCCCTATAGTGTTAATACCACCATCTAGCCCCTCATGCCTCCATAAATATAACAATCTTACTGTATTCAAGCCTGAAGCTGTAACTCTGCATGTTATTTGTCTCTGAAAAACACGCAGTCTGCTGACACCATCAGAAGTGGTAGCCTGATCCAATCACAGTGATTCCCCATAGGATTGGCTGAAAATGACAGAGGCAGATCAGGGGCAGAGCCAGCACAATTGAAGATTATGCTAGCGTTAGTGTACTTATAATCTTAATTTTAGTAATGACAGGAGGCGAGTATTTTGCATTAACTCTCTTTACTAACTCCACACAGCAGTAAAGAAAAGTGAGAAAAACATTAACCAATCAAAAATGCAGTAGGAGGTACAATATTCACAGTGATGAGGCTCCTCCCCCTCTTTCGAAAGCGACATCAGAAACAAATTTCCCTCGATAAATCCAAAGTCTTGTAACATGCACCAACGGGTGAACTTTCCAACTGAGCCGGTCTAGAGGCCGGAAGATGGTCCAAACGTGTCCATCCTGAGTGTGAGCTGCAATATCCTGAAGTTATGCTGAAAAAGAACGTGGAAAAGGTTAGGTACCGATCTTGCAACTGTTTGCAGTAATGAAATAGACCAGATACAAATTCCACTGACAATGAGACATTCATAGCAGAATGACAGTAACAGATAACAGGGACATAAATAGACCTGGTACAAACATGATATCCTGCAGAGTGAGAAGGAAGATAGTAGAGGGGTGAAAGCCCACAGTGTAGGTATACTCACGTGAGAACGCATCCCTCGCGGGTGTGGTGGGTGGGAAAATACTCGCCTCCTGTCATTACTAAAATTAAGATTATAAGTACACTAACGCTAGCATAATCTTCAATTTTACAACATGACAGGAGGCTTCATATTTTGCATTTTTAACGCTGGTGAAGGAGAGACGCGGCTGCCCCCGTGTTCGGGCGGAAATAGTAGGTCCAAAAGGTCGCTTCGCGTGACCAATCCGCGGCTCGTAGGATGTCTGCCAGCGATGCGCCCGCGGTGAAAGCCGACGAGGCCGCCGCACCGCGAACGGAGTGGGCGCCGAAGGTCTCCTCCACTCCTGCCAGAGACAGGATCCATCGCACCCATCTGGCGAGGGTGGTAGTGGAGACGGGTACGTGAGGTCTGACGTAAGACACCAATAGTTGGCCCGAAGATGAGACCCGAAGTGGGGATGTGATTTGTACGTATCGACGCAGAGTGGAGACCACGCAGAGCAGCGGTTCCGTAGGGAAAAAGGGGTAAAAAACCGACGAGGAGTCCGATTTGGTACGACGTGACACTTGGAAGGTAACTCCCTCGGGGGAGACCGAAAAGGCGTCCATGTCGAAAGCCCGCATGTCCGAAACTCTGCGGAACGAGACCAAACACAGAAGAAGTGTTAGTTTGGCCGACAGTTGTCGGAGTGAAAGTCTGTCGTTATCTGGCCAGTCCCTAAGGAACTGGAGAACGACCTCCACATCCCATAACCGGGTGTATTTGGGTTTGGGAGGCCTCTGGAGTCTTATGCCCCTGAGAAGACGGCATACCAGAGGATCTTTCCCGACGGGCATCCCCCGGGTCGGAACGTGAGCCGCCGAAATCGCGGAGCGCACAACGTTGAGGGATCGGTAAGACCGTCCCATGGAGTACAGATGGGAGAGAAAGTTCAGGATGGCTGTTACAGGTGCCGTAAAGGGATCAAAGTTCCGTTCACTGCACCAAGCGGCCCAGGAATTCCATGCTGCAAGGTAGCATCGTCTGGTTCCTGGTGCCCATGAATCCCATAAGAGGTCTCGAGCCGTCTGCGATAGGTCCTCGGTTTGCCAGGCACCCCTGAAAGAGTCCAAGCTACTAGAGTGAGGCGGTCTTCCAGAATGAGAGGATGGAGGTTCCCTCTCGGGTCTGTGAGGAGTGTCTGGTAGGACGGTATGAGGAGAGGGTCCCTGTAGGATGATACTAGGAGGTCCGGGAACCATGGTTGGCCCTGCCATAGGGGGGTGATGAGGAGCAGAGACCCGCGTTGCGTCTTCAGGTATTGTATCGTCCTTGCCACCATGGCGAATGGGGGAAAGGCATAAGCGCCCTTGAGCGGCCATGGTTGGAGAAAAGCATCTACTGCCTTGCTCTCCGGATCTGGTAGCCAGCTGAAATACTCGTCCGTCTGCCTGTTGTTGCGCGATGCGAAGAGGTCTAGGTGGAGGCAGGGACGTATTAGCCGCGAGGCAAACAAGGCATTTGCCTTGGGCGGCATTTTTCAGGGGGCGGCAAAAAACGCCGCCCCCCAAATGCCCAGGGCAGATGCCTTGTTAGCCTTGCGGCTGTCCAGTTCTGAAAAGACAGAGCAATACGACCTGCAGTACATGGGGAAAGTGGACATTGAGACACTAAGGTGCTTACCTGTGGAGAAGCGTGCTCTGCCACGGTTATGAGGTCCTCTGCCTCTGTCGGCTCCTCGGGTGTAGGAGAAGGGCTGTCTGAAACCCACTTCTGGGTAGAAGGGTTGGGGTCTGTGCGAGCGGGGGCCAGAAGGCCAAAAACGGCTGGCTGCTCGGCCCCTGTAGCGGCCAGCCCGTCCAAAAACACCCCGACTGGGGTGGCCCCTGAAGACTCGCTTCATGGAAGTGTGAGCCTTATTTAGTGAGGTGAAAATGTTTACATGCTTGTTCAGTTCTTTGAGGAAGGCCTCCCCAAACAATTTGCCCTGTGCAAGCGGTCCCAACTCCTTGGTGCCCAATTCCACCAGCTTTCCGTCAATACGGAGCAGCGCTGCTTTACGCCTCTCAGAGGAGAGGGCTACATTGGTGTTGCCCACGAAACAGAAGCACCTCTGTGCCCATTCTCGTATATCATGTGCCCACTCTTTAACCATACTGGCATCAAATTCGTCAGCCCTTGTAAAAGCATCGTCAGCCAAAAACATGAAGTGGGCCAATGGAGTCTAGGAGATTGTCCTGAACTCCGTGGAATCCTTTTTCTACCCCTCTCCTGGGGTCACGGCCACCCCGAGACATGAATGTGTTCATGACCTGGTCGAATTCGGGAGTCTGAGCCACGTGGTCGGGAAGGGAAGGGCGAGGGCATTCAGAACGAAGTCGGTTGCGCACCGTTTTGTCCAGGGGTTTGCGGAGCCAACGATGCATAAATTTGGAGAGATGATCCGGGGGGGTCCAGTCCCCCGAACGCGGGTGTTGTATATTGCGAGGGTCGAATAGACGCTGGCCCGTGGGGTCCAGGATGGCTTCCCCTTCGTCATGGACCAGTGTGGGGTCATCCGGCAGTTGGGTGTCGTCCAAAAAGGTGCCCTGCAGGAGGCCCGTATGGGACCCTGTGTCCGAACCCCAGTCATTATCTTGTGAATCAGAATCTGCGGCCTGCCACTCGTCCAACACGGCCATGGTGCGTGTGTGTTCTTCCCCCTCATCCGAGGAGTAGTGGGCGGGAGTGGGTGGGACTGGCCTGTGGCGTTTGGCCGGTGCCTTGCCTTTGCCCGGGTTGTCAGTCCCTTTTTCGCCCTTCCAGTGGCGTTTGCTGGGCCGTGAGTCGGCCTGCGTATGGGATTCTGAAGCCTCAGAATCATAGTCATGGGCTTGGGCTTTTGTGACTTTTTTAGTCTGATCGGCAGTTGCCGTCATAACCCTGGATAACGCTTTCTCCATAGAGGCGGAGATGGCTTCCGCGATCATGGTTTGGAAATCCGCAGGGTTTTGGGGTGTATCCATAATGATAGGAGTAGGACCGCTGTAATAGAGAAAGCACAGTAAACGTTGGGCTAGGGGTCAATCCCAGTGAGTGAAAAGGTACCTGCAGTACCCAGGCAACCCCAGCAGGGTAGTGTATATGTATAATAACAATAAAATAGGAATATGCACCCCGGCAGGGTGAGAATGATAAATCTGGCAGCAAAAGCACCAGTTTCCCCTAGCAGGGGGTATTGGGTTTTTTCTGGGCCTCACCCAGTTATATATGCATGTATATATATAGGTGGCACAAAATCCACCTGATAGCAGCGGTAATTAGATAATAGGGCCTCACCCTGAATGTAGCAAAATGGCACATAAATACACTGGAGAGCCAGTAATGATAATCAGTATGGGGCCTCACCCCAATGCACAGGTTTTTAACCTTATATGGGAAGGCTGACTGACCTGGGTGACCCCTGCCTGATTGCATCCGGTTACTGAGGTGATCGGTTGCCGAAATGAGGAGACCGCAATGCTCCTAAGATGGCGGCCGTGGATCTCG